CTCGCCAACGAAGAAGGTGAGTTTGCGCAGATGGCCAAGCAGGCACAACTTTCCAACTAATTCGGCTTCAATTATATTGCACTCGAGCTTTCGTATTGTTACAATTGCCACAAACATGTTTGGCGGTTGCGGGTTAGGGTCGAAGAACCATCCGAAAGCAAGATTAGTCATAGCTTATACTATCTATTGAGCTCGTACTAATGGTGGCTATAGAAGTTCGAACGCTTCGTGTTGCGATCGCAGAGCGGGCCATCGCTTCGCGACCCATACCAGTACCACCATGTTACGCACCCTTGGACCGCTGCAATCCGTCGTCGCAGTACAGTGGCCAAAGTTGCATCTTGTCTGTAGAGTAAGCGCGATCCTCTTGACGAGGGTCAACGGTTATAACGTCCTGTATTCTAGGCCTGGGAACAGACACGCGCCGCACGTAACATGGAAGCACTGGGCGGTAGAAGGCGTTGCGTGGCCTGACGCGCCGATGGCAGGCCTCGAAATATGGCGACGTGTAGTTGAACGAACATGATGAGAAAACACTACCAGCTAAGTTGACGTTATATACATGCTAAACCTAATAAATACTACGTGGGCTACTGCTAGCGGAGGACAATAAGAAAAACTAGAACTCAAACTCGGACGCATAGCTGTCTTCGAGGCTGTAGTCGGTGGCCGCGGACGGCGTGCTGTATGTGGACGCCGTGAGCTCGTCGTAGAGGACGAACGGCTGCGGCAAGCGCATCTCGGTTGGCAGCGACTGGCGCGCCTGCAAGCTGCCATGGCCTTCGTGGAACGTTGGCCGGGGTTCGGACGCAAAGGTCGGACGGTAGTGCTCGGCCGCGAACGTCGGGCGAGACGGCTCGGAGGCGAATGTCGGGCGGTATGCGTCTGCATCGTACTCGCAACTCATCATGGTCGTCTTGGCGCTGCTACTCTTGGCGCTGCTGTTGAAAATGTGGAAGGCCGAGCCCGACTCGGTCGGGACTGCGACCACGCGACGCGCTGGCACGATGGCCGTAGAGGCGTCGGTTGCGTACTGGTAGAGCTCCTCGAGCTTCTCTGCTTGGTGGATGTGGTACGTGAGCTCTTCAGCCCGCGACAGCATCGAGTAGCGGTCGGTAGTCGAGCCGAGCGTCTTGGGTGGCGGTGGCACCGACGTCTTGAGTGTCGATGCTGGCTTCTTGTTGGTGGTGGAGGACTTGCGCCATGAGCAGCGCGGGGCCGAGGCCGGGGCGGGCGCGCCGCCTGTCAGCCATGCCATCTTGGGAATTGGGTGGAAATAGAGAAATGGGCCGACGCTTCAAGTTTCCTAGCACATCACGCGAGCACTGGCCAGCGAAGAATCGAATCTTGTCCCAAGAGTTATAACATCCCACGCTATGTGCGCCACGAAACCGCTGCTATTGCTATGCGAATACAGAGATAATAAACATATTCATACATTTCACTAGTTGAATATGCGTACAATAGTCCGTTTTTCAACGCGTACATTGTCGACGCGCTCTCTTTTGATTGGCTAGCTACTAGCTGCAATCCACACACATCGCCTGCGTCCAGCAGCGCATACAAAGATCAAGTCACTGCACAGAACGCAGTGGCAGTGACGACGAGGACGTCGGCAGAGGCGACTCTGATCAAGTCGACCACAACGGAAGAGGATAAGCGTCGTCGTATAGGCTTTCGAGTCCATTCTGTCGGAGCATACTTCCGCGCGTGTTTTTCACACCGCGCATGTGTGTCTTCGTGCGACAACACGCCGCCGTCGGTACAGGAGGCGTTTCATAGCACTGTTATAACACAGGCTGGCGAGGATGAGGCTCTTTGTAACAGCGCGCAAGCGTCGAGCGAGGCTGTTATGCAGATCTACGATGGCTCCAGATACACAGCGAGTCCGTTGACGCGCCGTGTCCAGTGGCGCGTTGAAGCGTCGGACAGTTTGTTGAACCAGGTGTATGTCGCAGGCGGGCGGTCGTTCTCGCGCGACCCGATCGCGTCGACTTGACAGGGATCGGAACAGATTTTTGGGGCGCCACGGGGCCGCTTCTGGGTGCGCCAACGTGACAGAATTTTGACCCAGCAAACGGAGTGGCTGCAGGAAGTTCGGTCGCCGTCGACTCGACAGCTCGACCTCGAAGCCATCTGCAACCAGTGTTGGTGGCGTCAGTGGACGCTCGCCAGGGCTCCCGCCACCCAGAAAATGTGTAGCTGCGACTCAGCGTCCAACTCTGCTGCCAGTCGACGCAACGCACAGCGATCGTGCAGTGTCCACGGGTGGGTGCGTGACTTGCATAGCCAAGCACTACGCTTTGTTCGCCGCTATGCTGCACTCGCCTTGACAGGGCCATGGGAATCACTCGTCGTTCTGCGATGTGAAATGGTGATGATGACATGACTTGACTTGAGAAGTGCTTTCTGAGAGCTAATTTGAGCTTCTCGATTGTCGCTGCTCAGAATCATGTCGTGAGCTCCGCCAACTTGATTGTCTCGGTACAGAATCATTCTTCAGTCTTGGCGCTCGTTTGTCGAACGCAGCCGTCGTTTGGAGCAGCGCCGACAGCCACCGACCCGTGGCGAGACCAGTGTCTTCCTCGCAATCGTTCGAAAGCCCTTGGTCTCTGCACGTGTACAGATAAGGAACCAGGAGACGGTCAACGTCCCACTGGACTCGAGGTCGGTCGAGGGCATGGCGATCTTGAAGAGGCACGATCTTTGCCGCCTTTTTCACCAACAAAACTCAATCTGAAACCCACTCTCAAACTCGCTGCATCGACGAGTTGAGGCAGAACGTTGGCGATGCTTCCTGCGCTAGACTATACCATCGGGTCGTACGTAGGACAATCTTTTCCACACTGCGAGCAACGCCGTGATTGGCGCAGCCACGGGATACCTGTAGTTTGCCGTCGGGCATACAAACTTGCAATGTCGTTTGCGGGTCGGCTTTTTGGCCAATCACACGCTCGCATTGGCAAATATTACCTCCTCAGGCCTCAGGATGCCAGGCACCCCGACCCCGAGTCCGCGCGAGCCCGAGAAGCGGCCGCCGAGCACCCTGGCGCTGCCCGCGCGGAAGCGCATTCGGCACGATTCGTTCGACCTCGAGCGCCAGCCGTGCGCGCTGCGGCTGGTGCTAAGCCCTGACTGCGCGCTCTCTGCCGAGCAGGTCTACGAAATGTACTCGCTCGGGCTGGGCATCATTGACGTCTCGCGCGACTACAACAACTTTGCCGCGCTCTTGCGCGCCGACTTCCGCAGCATCTTTACAGACAATGCCACGTACCACCGCCTGAGCCGCTTCATGTGCACCTTCTCGGCGGACCTCGCGGCCGACGGCAGCATGAGCCTGCGCATCGCCAACTTTAGCAACAACCCGGTCACGCTCAACGGCAAGCGCCTGCGTACGTGCGCTACCGCGATTGCCGATACCATTAGCAAGCATATGTCTAGGGCGACGGTCGGATGACCTCGTGCAGCTCCACGAGCGGGACATGATTGTGTTCTTGGCGGACAAGGACAAGAAGCCGCTTGTGGCCTACCGCGTGGAAGACCGGTCCGAAGACGACTCGAGCATTGTACGTCCTTATACACAGCTTGGTGGCCTTACGTATCTCGACCAGGGCATTCTCTTTGCGTCGCCGTTGGTCGAACTCGATGCGACGGGCACGCCGTCGCCGCTCTCGGTACCTCCAAAACTGCGATGGACAACGGTAAGACCATGGGTGTAGGAGCTCGACTTTCGCACCGAATACCACTCGGTGCGGGATGTCCTCAAGAAGGCCCTCGACAAATTCGTACGTCCTCGAACTCACTCTCGATGCTGATGCGCTCTTCGTAGCAAAAGTCGCTCACAGAAGACTCGGAAGGTACGGCGACTTGGAGCATGTGTAGCAAGACGCATGGCCATGTAGGCGCTGCCCAAGTCCACGCGGTCCACAAGCCCATCCACGTCTACACACGGCTGGCGACCAAGCAGTCGTTCCGCGAGTGGAGTGCGTCGGTGACCATTCTGCACTTTACGGGCCACGGCAACGACCAGTGGCTGTACATGGAAGGCGCGATGCCGGGGCCCGCCGTGCCCGTGAGCCCCGCCGAGATCATGGAGCTGCTGCCCGACAAGATGGCGCTGCGGCTCGTCTTCCTCTCGTCATGCGCGTCGGCCAACATTGGTACCTTCCATCGTGATCTGATTGCGATCTTATTTCTACGTAGCGGCGGCGTTCTTGGCGCGCGGCGTCAAGCATGTCATCGCGACGCAGCCCGCGTCCGAGCTCGAAGACAAGGCCGCGATCGCCTTTACGCGGTACGGCAGTTGACAGCCCTGCAACGCTGAGCGAGGATGTCTGTGCACTTAGCCACTTTTACGGCTCGATTGCCTCGGGGCGCACCGTCCAAGAAGCTTTCGATGTGGGCCAACGCGCGGTAGCGGTGCTGCATAGCACGGCCAACCCCTCCGAGGTGCCACTCGCTAGAAACCAACGAGTGGTACTTAGGACGACTAGGTCGCCCGCAAATTCATCTTGCTGCCGGCCGACGGCGACCACGAAGTGCCTATTTTCCCGCCCAAGGAAAAGCGGCAGCCCCACTCGTTGTCGTCGTCGTCGCTAAGCCTCGAGGACGATATGCGGTGTGCGTCGCAGTGGATGGAAGCCCCGACGCAAGACGATTCGGTCTTGACGCCAACCACGTCACTCATGTACCCGACGATGCTCGAAACCACGTGCACGGTAGACCTGTGTGAAATCGGTTATTTGTTATGTCGAAGTATTGTAGAACTTTGGCTTTCGCAACTTGGACATGTACAACGTCTTTGTCTTGCTCGAGACGAACCGTGTCGTGACGCTGACAGGCGCCCATGGCATTGGTACTTTGAACTGCTTGATCTTCTCTTGACGACGAAGACCGTAGGCAAGACGGAGATGGCGATCGCGATCGCACGCTACATGGACGTTCGCCAGCGTGGCTGGCACCGCGTGCGCATGGCCTCGATCGGCGAGCTTCAAAAGGAGGTCCAGAGCGCACCGAATCAAGACGACGAAGCGTACGCAGCGCGGGTCGCGCATGTGCTGCTGCAAAAGCTCAACGCGGCCGACGAGATCTCGGACTGGCCGGCGTTCGTCGTCGTGGACGACTGCGATCTGCTCTCGGCGCCGGACGCGCTCCGCAAGCGGTTCGAAATGGCCATCGAGTACCTCTTGCAGTCGCACCGGTCGCTGCGCATTGTGCTCACGGCTCAAACGTCGTTTGAGATGCCTCACGTTGACGCCGCACGCTATCCGCGGACGACGTACGACGTGCCGCCGCTCTCGCCATTGGACGCCGCCAACCTCTTTGCCAAGCTCAACAGTCAGCCTATGGACAGCAATCAGTACGCGCGCCTGCAGCTGGCCGAGCCCGAGACGAGTCTGACGCCGGCCGAGTTGGCGCAGCTCCTGAGCACGAGCCCGCGCCTTCAGGCTACGAACGGCAACCCGCTCATGATCCTCCGGCTCTTCGAAGAGGTTTGCACCGGCAGCGCCGAGATCTAAGGGTCTTGAAGGGCCAAGTATATTCAAAGTGTATCGTTGAAGCTACAACTTGTATCCGTCTTGCGAATACATCTCGCCCACCTCGCCGACGACGTTGCCGGCGGTCAACGCAAACCCACCGCCGTAGGGTGCACCGTCGTCGTACTCGTCCTGCATTTGTGGCATCGGTCGAACACCGCTCTCATCGTCGTCCAGAGCGACTTCATTGGCGTCTTCGTCCATGGACTCCAATGGCGACCGCACTTCCGTATCGTCCAGGTGCGCCGGGTTTACTGTCGGTGCTGCAAGCTCTGGCGGGATGGTCGGCGCCGCTGGTGCGGCGGCAGACGTTGAAGCAACGACTGGTACAAAGTTCGGTATCGGAGCGACAAACTCTGGAAGCTACACAGTGGATAAGGAGATCGCTCGTATGGCTCGTCGAATGTACCGCGGGCCACGATGCACGCGGCGCGGCGCGGCTATAGACGCTTGCGGTGGCGACCTGCAACACAACATCAGTATGCATCCTACGCGTTGAGTCAACCCGTGGCGCTGCGTCTTGCAGTGGCCGGGTCTCGAGCTTGACAAAGGCGTTCATCAACTCGGGCTCCAGCGAAGGCGCTGCCTGCAGACGCTGCCGCGGCCAAGCCGGCGGGGTGGCAGACGATTTGCTGGGACTTTCGACGGAGCAGCGCCGGTCAAACGCGCGCCGGACGTTGCGCACGTTGGTAGCGTACGCCTCTTCGGGGTATGGGCGCTTTGGGACTTGACTCGGCGAAACAACGAGAGGCCCTGCGCTTGGCAACTTCTCTTCCTTCTTCACGCCCGAGGTCGCTTGCCGGGCGCCAACGGCGCACCGCGGTGGTGGCACGGGCAGGGACAAGTCCAGCATGAGCCTCCCAAAGCCGGGATCACCCTTCATGGCTAGAGGCTCCATGGGTGTGAGGCGGCCACGGGCGACGGGCACGGCCATCGACCAGTCGCAGACGTCTTGCATCTTCTCTCGCTTCTTCTTGGATATGCCCATCCCGCCACTTCGATTGGCCAGCCGCCTGAATTTTTGGCCAATCCAGAAGCCGAGAGCTCCAAAATGCCGAATGCAATATTATTTTCGGCATCGTCAAAGATCGCGCAATTGCGATCTTCGCTGCATCCGACTGCATGAACCTCCACGACCGCGGCGTAGCATGCTGATCACCACAAGCGTAGCTGGGTGGAACATGCATGCGATGCAGCTGCCTGACCTCTGTCCCTGGACCAGCTCGCCGATCAGATTGTGGGCTGTCGACAGCAAGCAGGCCACAACGTGCGCGTGCACCCAAGTGTGTTGTACACGTCAGAACTGAGGTGCTTGTTACACCAGTCGAGTTAGCACCTCCTAAGGCGTCGTCTGGGCACGCAGCACAAGCTCCTTGACGAAGGGCGAAAAGTGTTCGCCGAGGCGGCTGCAGACCTCGGGCAGACGCCAGTCCGTTGACGTGATGCGCCCGCGGCAGCTGGCACTGCCACACTGGCAGTCAAAGTTGTCGCTGTCTTGCTCCATGCTCCCGTCGTTGACCTACGCAAAAGAAGTGTTGAATCCAGTGCCGGACAATGAGGATAAGGACGGTGCAATGTACCATGGCGTAGTCGATCGTGATCTCGTCACCAGGGTAGATGTCGCGGATGGCGTGCACCGTGACCGAGTCCTTCATGCCGCACGACGGGTCGCACGAGTGGTTGATGTAGTCGCTAGTGTCGCACTTCTCACCGCTCTCCTACGCGATGCTTTAGGCATCGGATCGCAAAATGCACCCGTACCTTCCACGACGGAATCTGCCACAGCGTCGGCGCCACCTGCAACGACATCTCGAAGTCGCGCTTCGAGACAGCGCCCGGCTCCAAGATGTGGTCGCGGTGCACGATCTTGCCAGAGAAGACGCAGATGATCTCGCCCTTCTTGATCACCGCATCCTTGTGGAGGCGCGCAAAGAGCCCCATGGCCTCGCCCGACTTGTTGCGCACCTCGGCGCGTGGGTCATACCAACTGTTCTCCGAGTGTTTCTTCCACACGTGGTCGTTCAAGTGGTCGCGGTTCTTCTTGATGAACTTGCGCGAGCGCCACTCGGAGAACGTGAGCACACCACGGCACGCCGCCATGCCACAGAGGCACTGCAAGCCGTAGTGCATCGACGACTCGGTCTCGGTGCACGCGTAGTCGTACGTCAGCTGCTCGCCCTTCTTGACGTCGCGGCACGTCGTGATGCGCTCGTCGCCTTCGTACCACGTCGTGGGGTCGCACGAGTGGTTGAAATACCAGCTCGAGTCGGACGACGGGTTGAGCGTCGAGCCAAACTCTACACGGAGGCATTAGCCGTAGGCCATGGCCTTCGATCGTACTGTCGTCGCCGCGCATGTACGAGTATGTGATGAGCGTGTCCTTCTGCGGGTGCGCGAGGATCTCGGCCTTGGTGTAGATGTCGACGACGTCAATGTCCTGCGAGTACCAGATGAGCGTGCCCTTGGGCAGGTCTTCCTTGGCAAAGAGGCCCATGCACTCGAAGCCATAGTCGTGGAACTTCTTGACATCAACCACTTCCGTCAACATGCTTCGCTTCCGGGCCACGGGGCAATTCCAAAAATGCCAAAGATTTTTTCGAAGCCAGATTTTCGAATGATCCTTATCACAGGCGCTTTGGAGCCTAATTAGTCGCGAAAGTGCACCTCCACACTTCAACTTGACCTACAACTAGGACCGGATGCCCCCACGCAACCTCAGGAAAGATACCGGCGTCCGTGGACATCCCAGGGACCCGCCGTGGACTGCACGACGACATTGTCCACACCCCTCGTCCATGCCGATCCCACAACCTGCCACGAGTGTATCCCGGAGTGTATACGAGACAGTGACCGTGACGGCGTTGGACGATCGCACTGGGATCGCTCGAGTCTCTCACTTTTCACGCAAGTGGTGTGGTCGCAAAGAGAATTCGCGATACATCGACAACGTCCAAGTGACCCAGTGAGCTGATCCAGTTGTCCTAGATGCGCTCAGCTTCAGAATCTGGATCTGGTATCTTTTCACGTCGTCTCAGTACCAGAAAAAGAACGCGGTGAGCGATTCACGCACTGTAGAGATCATACTAGATATGCGGTAGTGACGATTTGACGACTGCATTTGTACGAGAGCTCCAGTACATTGGCGTCGGAGCAACCAAAGCTGCCAACGGTGCAGCCCAATCGAAAAGTTGGGTGTTTCTAACTTCCAGTTGCGTCCACCAGCGATCACGTGGGCGTGTGCTTCGATTCGAAGCGTCTCGCGTGTGCGTCCGACTCGAAATTATTTTGCGATGCAACAATACTTGACTGGATAATTCTATCGAACGCAGCAGCTTTCTATTCAATGCGACAGGATTAATTTGATGCCATCTGGTGCAACTTCGAATGGGTATACTTCAAACAAGACACAAAAGCGCAACTTCGGTTCCACGGAAACAGCCAATCGCAGGCGGCGAACATAAGCCATGCGCTGATTGGGCGAAGGGTACCGTAGGCTAATGCATCTGGCATCGGGACTCGAGGGCCGGAAGCCGCCAGCATGCTCGAGCAGGTCTCTTCACGCTTCAAGAACGCTTCCTGGGTCAACGACACGTTCGTGCCAGACTGGGACAGCTTCATGAACTCGACAGCGTCCGTGGTCGCGCCCTTGATCGCCGAGAAGGCGTGCGCGCTCCTCGACACCAACAAGAACTGCTACACTGCTTCGTGGTACCTCATTTGGCAGCAAGTGAAGCTATGGCTGCTCATCCAGACGCCCATCTTTGGCGCGTCCGTGCTCTTCGAGTGGCTTGACCTTGCGCAGAACAAGCACATTGAGAAGATGCGGTCGTTCTGGGACTCGTCGTTCGCCCTCTCGCTCGTACCCGACGCCATACTGCCCGGATTCGCCTCGCTCACGAGCTGTCTATAGGCCCACGGCGTGCAATTCGTTGCGTCGCTCTACTCGTGCATGTCCTGGAGTAGGCCATCGGTCGATATACAGGCCAGGATACTGATAAGAACGTAGTTGCCCGCGCCGGTGCGCTCAGCCTCGACCCGGCCACGTGGACGATCGAGTCGCTCCTCATGGGTCTCTGCGCGTTCAACTACGTCCTTCGCTGGCTCGGCGCCAAGCACAAGTACGCATCTCAAATTCCCACATGAGGTCCCGACACGTCGCCGTTTAGGTTCTACCACGTCGTCCGCCTCTCCAACCTCTTTGATCTGCTCTCGATCGCGTCGCATTTCTCGCTGGCGACGACGCCGGTGCGTCTGCGATCTGGTTTTGTCCTGTAGTACCAGATTCTGATATCCGACCAGACGACGGGCAAGGAGCGCTACTCGTGGCTCGACCTCGCCTTTCTTCGGGCGTACATCATCTACTACGTTGTGCAGCATCTCTTCGAGGTGCGTTTCCCACTCTCTCCCTCCGTCGACGTCCTGCTGGCTTGCTTCTAGAGCTACAAGTCGTTCCACGCGCAGCTCGTGGGCTTTATGATCAAGGCCGGCTGCCTCGTCTTCTTTGGTAGCTAAAGGTCTAGTGTATCGGTACAACTATGTGTTTTGTAGCCGCCGCCGTGCTCTACTCGCTCGAGCGCCTCGGCGAGATCCCGGGCACGGACTCGTACTTCTTCCACGTCTACATGTGTCCGACCCGCGCCGGCGACCTCGTCCCGAGTAATAACACGGCCGGCTACGACGCTGGGCTCTGCACGGAAGCCATGAGTCTCTTTACGTCCTTCTACTTTATGCTGGTGACCGTCTCGACCGTGGGCTATGGCGACTTTACGTACGTTCTCGTGGTCGAGAATGTCATATACAATGTGCATCGTAGACCCAAGACCGTCTGCGGCCGTGTCTCGGTGCTCTTCTTCATCGTGACTGGTATCTACACGTTTGCACAAGAGACGGCGCGGCTCGTCGCCATCTACGAAGACCAGCGCATGGGCCGCACCAAGTACACACTGCGCCGCAACGTCCAGCACGTCGTCGTCACGGGCAACCCGTCGGCCGTCCAGGTCATGGACTTCATCCGCGAATTCTTCCACCCGGACCACGAAGCGCTCTTCTCGTCCTCGACGACGACGTCGACACCCAAGGCGCGACTGCGTCGGCCGCAGCTGTTCCACCAGCAAGCACACGTTGTCGTGCTCATGGAATTTCAAGATGAAGACATGGAGCGCGAGGTGCAGAACACGCTGCAAGAGTACATCCGCAGCCACCCGCAGTACCACGGCAAGGTGACCATGCTCGCGGGCTCGCCGCTCGAGGAAGTCGACCTCAACCGGGCCAAAGTACACGACGCGCTCGCGGTGCGTCGCCCTATTTGTTGAGAAGCGTACGACGGACGCTCTGCGTAGGTGTTCTTCATCCCCAACAAGTACGCGACCAACGCTAATCAGGAAGATGCTGCGAACGTTCTCCGCGTCCTCTCGGTCTCCAACCACAAGGGCCAACATACACAGCTGTTTGCGATGCTTGTCAACTCGGAGAACCGCGTGCTGCTAGAAGCCACGGGCATCAAGAGCGACCATCTGGTGAGCGCCAGCGCCGAGATAAGACTCTAACGTGCACATAGGTGTGCTCGGACGAGATCAAGCTCGGGTTGATGGGCCTGAGCTGTCGTTGCAAGGGCCTCTCGACGCTCATCTCGAATTTGATCGGGTCCTTTGACAGCAAGATCGCCAACGACGGCGACGAGCCGCTCCCGCTCTGGGCGGACGAGTACGTCACAGGCGCGGGCAAAGAGATCTATGCCATCTACCTCGACGCACGGTACATCCCAGAAGACGATCGTGTGCTCCTATAAGCGTGTCGTAGGTACCATGGCATGACGTTTACGGACGTCACGGTCGCCATCTTTGACGAGACGCAGGGTCAAGTCCTCCTGATCGCGATCGAGCACCACCAAGTCGTGCACTGTAACCCTGGCCACACAGAGCGCATTCAGCCGTCGTCCAAGGTCGCGTATCGCATATGTCGGCCAAGATCTTAGTGGCTTTGCGCAGGTCTATGTCATTGCCGACTCGATGAAGGACCTCGTGCGCTACTCGGCGGTCGGCAACCTCTTTCGAAGTCACTCGATGGCCGCGCTTTTGCGCGCGCGTCCCAACCTCGTGGCGCGCGCCGAGCGGGCCCGGCACAACGTGCGTCTTGCTTGTTGTTGAATACGACCGGGCTCATGTGTGGTTAGGTCGAGAAGTCGATTCCCAAGAGTGTACGGTCGTACATTGACCGACTCGAGATGCTCGACGCGCCGCCCAGTCCGCCCGCCGACCTCGTCCACGCCGGCAACCACATCATCATCTGCAGGTATCGCTTGCCTCGTCTATGCGTTGTCACTCACACATGCATGTACGTAGCGGTGTGTCGCTCTCGGGCGGGCACTCGATGTCGCGGCTCGTCAACTTTTTGCGGCCGCTGCGCAAGGACCATGTGACGGGGCCCGTCCCCGTCGTGATCGTGGACCCTGCGACCTTTACTAGCAGCGCGTGGGCGCAGCTCAGTGTCTTTGGCGACGTCTACCACGTTCAAGGTCCAACAAGCGAGGAGGACGAGGACGCTCAGTATGCTTTGTAGGCTCGCCGCAAAAGCACAGCACCCTTGTGCGCGCCGGCGTCTACAACGCGTCGGCCATCGTTGTGCTCGACCAGGGCTCGGAAGGGGTAGGTGTTTTCATTGGTGGTTGACGGTTGTACATATTGTCCACTAGAACAACGACGACTCGAAAGCCATCTTTAATGCGATTTTGATCGACGCGGCGATCCGCGACTCGAACGTATTTTCCATCATCGAGCTCAAGGACGAACACTTCAACAAGTTCCTCGACCCACTCCACCGCAGCACGTCGTTCCACTCGGACCGCCACCTCTCGCTGGCGGCTCTGCCGATGCTGGACGCCCCCGCGCGGCTCTCGCAGCCCGACCGGTCGTCGATGCTCTCGGTCTCGCCGCCGCCGTCGACGCTGCTGCGCCTGCCGCACTGGTTTCAGGACCGCGTCATGGACGCCCGCGACGGCCTCCACGTGCTCCGGAACGCCTTCACCGGCAACTACCACGAGTGCCAAATGGCGGCGTCGGACGCCGAGGACCCGCTGGCCAACAAGCAGATGGCGATGCTCATGCACCGCTTCCACATGGAAGACAACGACACGTTCTTCCAGGAGCGCTTCATGTGCGGCACGCTCTTCCCGGGCTACGTGGCCGACGAGCTCTTGATCCAGAGCTTCTTCAACCCGAGCATCAACGTGTTCATCCAGCACGTGCTCGAGGGCAAGAACGTCTTTATGCTCTACGACGTCCCGAAGCAATGGCGCCGCCTCCACCTCACGTACGGCGACCTCTTCCACCGGATGACGGCGGCGACGCGACACGCAGTCGCGCTTCCGATTGGTCTCTTGCGCGCGCCGTCGCACCGGAATGGCGCGCAAAAAGACTATGTCTACACGGCACCGTACGCCCATGTGGTCGTTCACGCCGACGATAAGATCTTCGTCTTGATCAACCAAGCCGCCATGCACCGCGTCGCCAACACGCTCCAGCGGCGGTTCCGCGCCCGTCGTACGACCCCCGCCTAGTGTCGATGTGGCATGCGTTTTGACATGCAGAATGTAAACAGCGTTTTGGTACAGTGGATCGCGAAGGGCATCTTACACATAGTCGTGAGTAGTAGTCGTTTGAGTCTTGAGAGGGTGGGCTGTGTAGAGTGGTGTCGACGTCGCGACATGGGGTCGTTCAGATTTGTACGACCCTGAAAGATCGCAATATTGGCCAATCAACGTCGGCGGTTCCTGGCCATCGCCCATTTGACAACTGGCACGATGATGATCTTGAGCGAACACGTGGACCTGCCGACGCCGACGGGCGTCATGCGGACGTATGTCCACCGCCCGACGGACGCGTCGGCGCGGTACCCGACGATCCTCCTCTTCTCCGAAATCTTCCAGCAGACGGGGCCCATCGAGCGCACCGCGCGGTACGTCGCGGGCCATGGCTACGTCGTGCTCGTGCAGGAAGTGTTCCACGAGCTCAACCCGATTGGCACGGTCCTCGCATACGACGACGTTGGCAAGGACAAGGGCAACGCGGACAAGAGCGCCAAGCCTGTGACCGCGTACGACAGCGACAATGCCGCGGCGATCGCGTGGGCCAAGACGCAGCCGTGGTGCAGCGGCGCGTTTGGCTCGATGGGCTTTTGCCTCGGCGGTCACTTGGCCTTCCGCGCGGCGCAGCAGCCCGAAGTGCTCGCGACGGCGTGCATGTACGCGACGGACCTCCACACGCAGGTCATTCCGTCGACGCCCGGCACGCACAGCATGGACCCGGCGCGCCTCGCGCTCATCACTGGCGAGCTCATGTTTGTGTTTGGGCGCCAGGACCCGCACGTACCGCAGGCCGGTCGCACGCACATTTACGACAAGCTCAACGCGGCGGCCAAGGACTTTACTTGGCACGAGGTCAACGGCCCGCATGCGTTCATGCGCGACGAAGGCGACCGCTTCGACGCGCAGCTCACGAGCCTTGTCTACGGCATGATCTTCGACCTCTTTCGCCGCCGGCTCCACAAGACCTCGTCCTTGTAACTTGTGAATCCATGAAAAGGCGTTCTATTGTACTACTTGAACTACATTACCGATACTACGACGTCTCGTCGTCCACGAGCCCGAAGTCTTCGTCGTCGTCGTCGTCGTGCGAGTCGCTCATGTCGAGCTGCGTGAGGTGGTGCTCGAACGTGTCGACGCTGCGCTGAAGCAAGTCGACGGACGAGCCCATGAGGAACGTCAGAAGCGCGTCCGGGGCCGTCCCGAGGCTCGGGAAGAGCTCATCGGGCGCCGCCTCTAGCTTTTCCTTCTCGGTCGCGATGCGCGACCGCTCTTCCATGATAAACTTGAACGTGTCTTCGGCCGATGAGAACTTATCCGTGCTCTGCATGAAGCGGTCGACCGACGAGGACACCAGGTGCTGCCACTCGTTACTCGGTGCGGCGGTCGCAGGCGTCTGGAAGAGCGACGGCGCCGCAAACAGCGACGAGGGCGCTGGCTTGGGCGCGCCAAAGAGCGGGCTGGCGGCGAAGAGCGGGTTGGTCGCGGCCGGGCTGCTGCTGCTGCTGGCGGAGCTCGTCGAGCTTGTTGTCTTCTGGAAGAGCGGATTGCTCGATGATGACACTGTCTTTTGGAAAAGGGGGTTCTGGGACGGCGACGAGGTCTGAAAAAGGGGGTTTGTACTTGGCGTCTTGTCGAAAAGGGGGTTGCTGCTCGGCACCTTTTCGAAAAGAGGGTTTTTCGCTGGCGCCGTGTCGAAAAGGGGGTTCTTTGGAGCGGTTTGGAAGAGTGGGTTGGGCATCTTGGCGTGCTGGAAGAGAGGGTTGACGCCCTTGACGACGGGCGGGATCGGGTCAGGCGCGAGCTGCACCATCGATGGCGTAAAGCCCGGCGTCTCGAGGAGCGTCGCGTTGGCGGCCGACGCAAAGAGCGGGCTCTTGTCGGTCGAGTACATAAAGTGGTTGATCGCCTTCCACACGAGCTCTTCGTGGCTGCCAGGCTCGACCTGGAGGCTCGACGGCGGCGGCGGCGCCTTTTTCGCGTACGGCTCGAGCTGCTTCCGGCGCTCCTTCTTGGCCTTCTTGATCTTTGGGAACGTCTTGCACTTGGGCTGCGGCGTGCGCACAATCATGTCGAGGAGGCCCGGCACGCCTCGCACAAAGCTCGCATGCGTGTACGTCTCGACGTCGTTCGCCTCGCTCTCCCAGTGGAAGCCATGGTCCAGCAGTTGCTGGTGGAAGGCCGCCAGCTTTCCGCGAAAGTACTTGGGCAGGACGGTCGCATCGAGCTGCTCGCGGTCGAGGATCGAGAACTTGGTGCCATCTTCGCTCCACGCAATGATCTCGGAGCTCTCGTGGTCCAGGAGCAAGTACAGCTTGCGCACGAAGCCGCTCGCAATGTTGCTGCCCGCCATCCGCAGGAAGTCTGGCAATGGCAGCATGCCAGCCCTGGCATGGTATCCGGCTCCATCCGGATAACTTCGTTGTGGCGGCCGACAGAATGATGGTCCGACGGAGGCACATGTGATTGGCCAAAAGGCGCTCTGACCAACATTCGCGTTTCGACGACTTGCCAAAACTGCCACCACCATCAGTGCAGCCAAGGGTGCATCGTCTTGGTAAAGCTTGGAGAAGCTACGGCAGCTCGCTTCCAGCGGTAGCATTAATCTTATTGATCCGGTTGAATCCAACGTGGCATTATCCATAGAATGCAGCACAAGTGTTAATTACTGTGGCTTACGCAAAGTGCTTGCACTCTTCTCACACGATCCTACTCCGAATGGGTTCACACTGCTAGTCGATAGACGGGAAATCTCGTGTTAAATAGCAGGGTTCTCAAATCGAGACATAAGACAGTACGGGACAGACTACAAGCAAGACGGTGGCGTCGCCTTAGACGCACACCACCGAATGGCCGTTGAGCAATTGCCATGCGTCGGGCTGCGTCTCAAAGCTGGTGTGCTTCTGGAAGAGCGGGTTCGTCGAGCTCGTGCTCGTTTCGGGTGTTTGCAGACAGACAGCGGCCAGCGCCGACCAAAGGTCGTCGCCGCCTCGGAACGTTGTCGTCGTCGGCGCACTGTAGGGGTGGTGGCGGGTCTTTGTGGTCTTGGAGAGGACCTTGCCGGTCGCTCGCTTCTTGGGCGCAAGAGGCGCGGGGCAGTCGCGGGAAAAGTCGCTGTGGTGAAACTTCGTGTCGTCGCTGCAAGTAAAGCCGTGCTGACACAGAAGCGCGCGAAACTCGCCGAGCGTCCGGAGGCGAAAGTACGTGGGCAAGAGGCTGGCCTCGAAGCGCGGCAAGTCGCCGACGCTAAAGTGCTTGCCGCAGTCGCTCCATGCGACGACGCGGTCGCTCTCTTGGCTCAGCATGCGCTGGAGCTTCCGGAAGAGGCAGCTGCTACTCGTGTTGCTTGTGGTGGGCATTTTGAAAAGTGATCGAGATGTCAACGTCCACTGGCTCGATTCAGTGGCCGCCCTTCTACGAGTGATGGTCTACGGCCGCTCTACACTTGCCGACTCTATACCATCGCCCTTGAGAGTGCTGGTCAAGTGAATGTTGCAAACGCCGGATATGTTATCCGGATGTTCACTGGCTCTTCACGAACGTTCGCATGGGCGCCGCAGAGCATTCGGCGCAACGCCAGCGCCTTGGCAACTTCAACGTCGCTGAGAAGATGTGAAGATCAAGATCTTAGTTGATCGCGCAAGCACATGGCACCACTTGTGATCTTCGGGCCCGATATGAAGTGGACGGTTCTTGTGGCTCGTTGGTGGTCGAGACAGCTCATCCCAGCGAATTCGTACTTGGTTCATTTCGTCCTACACACCTCGACTTCCCCATGACGACGCTACTCTGTCCGCTTGACGACGACCTCGTCACCGTTCTACTAGTATTTTGCAGCAGCACCTCTGGACGATGATGCCCTGCGCGTCATGGCAGAGAACAAGGAGCCAAAGAACATCCTCCTCGGTGTACAAGTGAGCTCTCCGTGATAAGGGGTATCATGTCCCTTGAGCTATCAGCATCGAGGTTAGGGTGTTTGCAATAGACATGGTTCTCTCGACCACTGACGGAAAGAGTTAGTATGCTATCGATGTCATAGCAGGATGCAGACAATAAAGGAGCTCCCTTAGTTGATTCATATATACATGGATGTCGCATCTGATGGACGTTTACATGCACGTGCAGTCCTTTTGCTTCTTGCCGTCTGGGACGCTGGAGCTCTGGCGCTGGAAAAGCCGGTCGCCAAAGCTGCGCATGCGCTTGGGCGGCGTCGTCGCGCCGTGGGCAGGAGCGACCGGTGCGCTATGGAGCGACGAGCGCAGCGGCTCGTCCAGGATCACGTGGGGCTCGCTCTGCGTCGAGGCGCGGACGCTGTCGGAGCGGTCTTCGAGCGAGAGACCAAACGAGAGGTTGATCGGTGGTGGCAGGGCTTCCATGGGCTTTCCCGACGGCGATGGCGGCAACCCGATGCTGGCGGGCACCTCGTCGATGCTATCAGGCGACGGGGACGGCAATTCGATCGAGCTGCTCCGCGAGCTCTCTTCGCGCAACGTGCGTCGCGCCTTCATGAGCTTGGCGCCAAACTTGATCTTGAGCTTCGTCTAAAGCAACCTGACAATGCCATCGGACTTCGACGGGTTAGCGTACCATGAGAATAAAGTTGTTGACGGGCGTGAACGCAAGGCTAATTTCTTCCGGCGACACTTCCACGATGGACGCGCGCTCGTGGTGCACCGCCGCCGCGAGCCACGGATGCTGCAGCAGCTCGGACAGCGAGATGCGTGTCGATGGGTCCTTGTCCATGAGGCGCGTGAGCACTTCGTCGCAGAGCGGGTCGCTGCCGGCGGACGGCAGCACAAGGGGGTCTTCGCGAATCGACCCCATGATGGCAAGGGCGCCGCCTTCCAGGTGCTCTTTGGAAGCCCCAAATGGCAAGTTCCCGTACAGCATGGCGTACGCTGTGACGCCCAGCGCCCACACGTCGACCTTGAACGGGTCGAACGCAGCCCCGACCGTGCACTCGGGAGCTAGAAAGTGGTATGTGCCCTCCGTGTTCTTGAGCTCCGTCGCCATGTCGTCGTCCGTAAACATGTGTGCGACGCCAAAGTCGCTGAGCTTGTAGCTCGTCTTGTCGTTGGTCATGAGCACGTTCTACGCGGTAGATCAGCATGCGACTTCCAGCGTGATATATGGTTCTACCTCGGGCTTGATATCGCGGTGGCAGATTTGGTTCAAGTGCACTACGTAGGTGCATTTTCGTCAAGCCAAAAGATACCAAGATGAGCGATAGCATACGGTATTCGAGCGCCAGAGCCATGTCCACGACGCATGCTTGCACGATTGCCGTCGGCGCTTGGCCTTGCGAGCCAATGTACTTGTAGCACAGCGCCGTCGGGTCCCAGTCCATGACCTGGCCGCCGGTGACGAGCTCGAGCACGAGGAACATCTTGTCTTGGGACTCGGCGTCAATGACCTACGCGCGTCGTTTGGCGCATGGACCAACGCAAGAGAGTACCTCGTGCAGGTGCGTGAGGTTGGGGTGGCGCAGCTTCTTCATGATCGCAATCTCCTTTTGCACCTTTTGGAAGGCGTTGGAGGCGACCATGCGTCCGCCGACCTTCTTGAACTCGCGCTTGCGCTTGAGGAACGACTTGTTGAGGATCTTCATGGCCTGCGCATGTACATATGAGCCATGCAGCTGTCGTGCCAAGTCGTACATATTGCGTCGTGACGCCCCCCGTCGTCTTCTCGCAGAGGTACACCTTGGAGTAGGCGCCTTCGCCGAGGAGCGCGCCGATCTTGTAGTCGTTGACCTGCTCCGGCGCGCCCGAGTCGCTCTCCTGGACGTCGGCGGTCGCCGTCTCCTTGACCTCTAGCTCGGCGCCGCTGCTCGTCGCCTTCACATACCGCGCGTCTACCGACCCCGTCGGTTCCATTTCCATCTTTCGGAACCCAATCGCAAATGCCAAATGGCCGCTCCCTCTGAAAACGCATACACTCCCGCCAGTCGTTCCGGTTGACGACGGCGACATCCGTTTATGGAGGTTTTCTGTCACCAAGCTGCGTGATCATGCAAACGTCGACGCCGAAATTTCAAGTGCAAGCGGCAAATTTGAGGTACGACCAGATCAGGAAACTAGATCAATAATGTGAGAGACCATGAGGCAGAGCAGCGCTGCGTGGCGGTCTGGCTCGTTGTTTGGCGCGGCTGCGATCTGGCAAGAAGATCCAGTTCGCCCAGTTTTACCACTGAGATCTGAGTCGCGCCTCGCCAAGGTCGGTGCCGCCCTGTCGACGGTTCGCCCCTGCTTGCTGGGTATAAAGGCTCGGTAGGGCTCGAGATTCCTTGCGACTTGCTCGCCATAGTGCACAGTAGTACAGAAGTGTACTAGTACTAGTACGTGGCAGCGAGCTGTGCCAGCGTCCACGATGCCGTGGGAATGTAGGTGCCGGAATGTAGGTGTTTCCCGCAGACAGGGTGTGGCGTGCGTGCCAGTCGGTCGCGTCCAATGCCCGAGCCGACGCTGGACCCGGTGCTGCGGAAGCGCCTCTACATACGCTACAAGCAACGTGCGTACCGGCAGAAGATCGTGTCTGAGATCGAGGCGCTCCAGGCCGAAGCCGCCGTTCTCGAGCGCCACGTGGCCCGCTTGACCGCCAAGAAGCAGCTCCTGAGTTGGAAGGACGTCGCGGTAGGCCTCAAAGACGACGTGGTCATTGCGCGCCGCTCGACGACGACGCTCGAGGCCAAGCGCAAGGCGTATCTGGATGTAATATCCGCCATGGCCAAATGGATTGCCATTCAAAAAGGGATCCAGGTACACCTTTGCGCATGTCCTCGCTTGTCGCTACATGCGTGCGCGCCTTCTGTAGACGCCGCCATCGCTTCGACCTACGTGGCGCAACGTCACGCTCGTCAGCAACGCGACGTCGCGCAAATTAGGCTTTGACTGGATCACCAAGAACGTCCATTTTCACACTGACAAGATGCTCGAGACGTTCAAGTTTCCGTCGCCGATGGCGCCGAAGTCGCTGCTCGACTTTTACGTCGACGCTGCCGACGCCGAGTGCCTCCAGTATGTGCTGCGCTGCCAGCAGGACCTCCCGATCCCGCTCGAGTATGTCGTCCCGGCGATCCGCGACAACGTCGTTTCGTTCCTGATTGGCGCGCTCTGGAACTACGAAGATCGCGAGATGCAGGAGAACTTCACCGAGCCCCTCGACATGGAGGTAGGAACATCGCAACTATGCACGCGCGAGCCTCGTTGTCGATAGCTGCTGCAAGAGCCCGACGACCGAATGCGCTACACGCGCAATGTGCTCTCGGGCGAAGAGTCCATCTACTACCTGACCCGCGAGTTCCGCACTCCGAACCGCGTGACCTTTGTGGGCCAAAATATCCACGAAGACGAGCTCTTGCCCAAGAGCCAGCGCCAATGCAACCGCAACTTTTGGTTCGTCCTCGACCGCCTCGGGCCCGCGATGACGCGCCTCCGTGTGCTCTACACCACGTCGCATTATTTTACAGCCAATGGGTACGTCTCGCTCGACGACGAAGCGCGCTACTGGGGCTGCGACCTCTCGACGACGCATGACACCAAGAAGGCAGCGGTCTTCCATCGGCATGCCACGGACGTTGGCACCGAGTTTGCACGCCTCGGCGCGCAGCAGATCGCCCTCGGTTTTGGCGGTTGATAAAGTGATACTGCAAAACTTGACGGTTACATGACGTGGCACGACGGCTCGCTTGCGCTGACTGGGATCGCAGCGTCCGAGACTTTGCGCATGCTGCGTCGGCGGATTAGGTTGACGCCTTCGTTGATTGTTGTTGTTGTCGCGGTGCTAATTTCACTCTGCTTGGCCGCGAGCGCGCTGCGTGCGCGCGCGAGTTTTGCGTGCAGTTTGAGTTTGAGTTTGACCATGAGGAAGAGCTTGTACGACGCGGTGAACGCTTTTGCAATCTCGTCGCTGGTGACGGTCACCGACTCGGTCGGATTCGGTGCCTTGCGCGACGCTGCGACTGTGATCCACGGGTGCTCGAGCAGCTGCAAAATCTAACACCATACGCCCAAATGACACGCGAGCTGCATGCATGACAAGCACAATACGCTGATACGCGTCGCGGGTGACTTGTCCAAAAGCTGCATGAGGAGGTCGTGTAGCAGCGGCTCAATCTCGTGCGGAAACACAAGAGGATCCTCTCGGATCGCGCGGAGGACGCCCGGCGGACCGTCCGTGACGGCCATACCGAAGGGCAAGGTCCCATACACCATCGCAAACACCGTGACGCCAACGGCCCATATGTCGACCTTGAATGGATCGAAGGCGTCCCCTGCGTGCGACATAAGCACGCCGCATTCAGCGCTTGTCATACCAGAGGTACACTCGGGGGCGAGATAGTGATACGTGCCTTCCGTGTTCTTGAGCAGCGTCGCGTGGCCCGGCTCGGCAAACATGTGGGCGACGCCAAAGTCGCCAAGAATGTACTCGCTCATGTCGGTCACGAAAATGTTCTACCGACAATATGTTCATCAGTTTACCAAATGAGCCCGTTCATAACCTCGGGCTTGATGTCGCGGTGGCAAATGAGATTCCGTTGCACTACCCAAACCCTCGATATGCACGCGATACGTACACAACGACGTACAGTAGTCGAGGCCGGACGCGAGGTCCACGAGGCAGTCGTGGACGACGCGGAGCGGCGTGACGCTCTTCTCGTCGACCGTCGGGCCCGGCTCGCGCGTATAGCGATAGCGCATTGCGTGGTTGTCGAAATCGAGGAGCTGGCCGCCCGAGATGACGTTGAGAATCAAGTAGAGCTTGTCGTCCTCGGGTGAGTCAATGACTTCGTGGAGCCGCGTCAAATTCGGGTGGCACAGCTTCTTCATGATTGCAATTTCCTTTTGCACTTTCTAAACACAAACGTCAAGGATGTCGTCTGGCGAATCCCACGTGCGCGCACCTGAAAGGCGTTGGTCGCGACCATGCGGCCCGCGACCCGCGTGAATTCTTGCTTGCGCTTGAGGAGCGACTTGTTGAAGATCTTCATGGCAAACTCCAAGCTTTGGCCGTCGACGAGCTTGGCGCACTTGTACACTCGCGCAAATGCACCGCGGCCGAGCTCCTCGCCCACGATGTACTCGTTCACGCGCTGGGGCGCGCCATTGTCGTCGACCTCCAAGTCGGTCACGTCCTGCTCGATGACCGCCGTGTTGGTGAGGGCGGCCCCCGGCCGAGGACCCTCGCGTGGAAGTGCGCGCTCGGACCGCGCCCGCATGCGACCACTGAAAATGGCTCCGCCTGTCTATTCGCGGTGCTAGTAACCAACAGCCGAAACCGGTCCACCAAGATCTGAGTGCGTTCGCAGACCTCCGCCAGCGCCGTGTTGGCTCGTGGTGATGGCGGTGTAGCCAACGGAGTAATGACAAGTCCTTGGTTGAAGCTGCATCCAAATGCCCTACTCTCTGCTACTGGCTTGTATCGCTCGCATGAAAGGGACCTCGTAGCGCTTGGTTTCGACCGAAAGTATCAAGTTGAAATGTACAAAGGTGTATAAATTACATAGCAAATCGTGTCAAGCAGTAGTATATAGCGATAGGAAAGAAGGGAGTTTAGCAAATCGACATCTTGCGGGCGAGGAGGTTCTTGCCCGTGCTCCAGCCGACCGTCGGCATGGCGTAGTACTCGCCAATGTGGCAGATCTCGAGCTTCTTGACCTTCTCCATCGCGGTCGTGAGCATGATGGCGCACTTGATGTTGTTGATGAGCGAGATGCCAAAGTCGACCGACGCGCGGCGGATGAGGTACCCGTCCGAGGCGCCCTGGCGGTTGCCCGAGTCGGGCACGTTGATGACGAGCTCAATGTCGCCGTTCTTGATCGCGTCGACGACGTTCGGGCCCTTCTTTGCGCTCGGCTTGAAGAGGACTTCGCACGTGATGCCGTGCTGCTGGAGGTACGCGGCCGTGCCGGGCGTGCCGTACAGCTTGTACTTGAGCTTGTCGAGGACCTTGCACGACTCGAGGAACTCGTGCTTAATGTCGTCGTTGCCGATCGAAATCAGAATCGACTTCTTCTCCTTGGGCATCTTGAAGCCGGCCGAGAGGAGCGCCTTGAGGAACGCCTCGTGCATGTCGGTACCGAAGCAGGCGACTTCGCCCGTCGACGCCATCTCGACACCGAGCGTCGGGTCCGCGCCAAGAAGGCGCGTGAACGAGAACTGCGGCGCCTTGACGGCCACGTAGTCAATGTCGATGAGCGCGATCGGGACGGGCTTGACGACGAGGCCGAGCATCGCGCGCGTCGCGAGGTTGATAAAGTTGAGGTCGAACGTCTTGGAGATGAACGGGAACGTGCGCGACGCGCGGAGGTTGCACTCGATGACCTTGACTTCGTTCTCCTTGGCCATGAGCTGGATGTTGAACGGGCCGGTGATGTTGAGCGACCGCGCGATCGCGCTCGCAATGCGCTTGACCTGCTTGATCGTGCCGACATAGAGCTTCTGGGCCGGGAGCACGAGCGTCGCGTCACCTGAGTGCACACCGGCGTTCTCGACGTGCTCCGAGATGGCGTAGTTGAGGATCTGGCCATCCTTGGCGACACCGTCAAACTCGACTTCCTTGGCGTTCAGGATAAACTTGGAAATGCAAATGTTGCTGCTGCCACCGACGTTGGGCGAGTTGAGGTAGTCGCGGAGCTCTTCGGCGCAGGACGTGACGACCATGCCAGCACCCGAGAGCACATAGGACGGGCGCACGAGCACCGGGAAGCCGACGTCCGAGGCAAAGTTCTCGGCTGAGGCCGCGTCCGTGACTTCGGTCCACTTGGGCTGGTCGACGCCGATCGTGTCGAGGAGCGCCGAGAACTTGTTGCGGTCTTCGCAGCGGTCGATCGATTCGGCCGACGTGCCGAGGATGCGGACGCCCGACTTGGAGAGCGGTGTCGAGAGGTTGTTGGGGATCTGCCCGCCGACCGAGACGATGACACCGTGCGCGTTCTCCCGGTCATAGATGTCGAGGACGCGCTCAAAGCTGAGCTCCTCAAAGTAGAGGCGGTCCGACTCGTCGTAGTCGGTCGAGACCGTCTCCGGGTTGTAGTTGACCACGATCGCCTTGTAGTTGAGCTCGCGGATCGTGCGCACGGCCGAGACGGCGCACCAATCAAATTCGACCGACGAGCCAATGCAGTAGGCGCCGCAGCCGAGCACCATGACGCCATGGTCGTCCATCGGGATGTCGTCTTCCGCGCCCGAGTACGTCATGTAGAGGTAGTTGGTCTGCGCGGGGAACTCGGCCGCGAGCGTGTCGATCTGCTTGACGAACGGAAGCACGCCAAACGACTTTCGGCGGTTGCGCACAATGAGCTCCGTCGACTTGACTTCGGTCGCGATCTGACGGTCCGAGAAACCGTAGGTCTTGAGCGTCTTGAAGTGCGACGCCGTGAGCTTGTCGAGCGCGCCAAACGCCTTCATGCCCTTCCGGAGGCTCGAGATGTGGTGCAGCTTGGAGAGGAACCAGCGGTCAATCTTGGTGAGCTCGTGGACCTTGTCGACCGAGTAGCCCGCGTCAAGGGCCGCAATGACGTAGAAGAGGCGCTCGTCCGTCGGCTTCTTGAGGTTGGCGTCGATCTCGGACGTCTTGGTCGTGTAGTCGACCGGGCGACCGTTGAGACCGTCCAAGTTGGGGTTGACCATGCGCACCGCCTTCTGGATGCACTCTTCAAAGTTGCGGCCGACGCTCATGACCTCGCCGACACTGAGCATCGACGAGCCGAGGTCGTTCGAGACGCGCGAGAACTTCTTGAGGTCCCAGCGGGGCATCTTGACGACGCAGTAGTCGAGCGACGGCTCAAAGCACGCGGTCGTCGTCTTCGTGATCGAGTTCTTGATGTTGACAAGGTCGATGCCGAGCGCAATCTTGGCCGCCACGTACGCGAGCGGGTAGCCCGTCGCCTTGGACGCGAGCGCCGACGAGCGCGAGAGACGCGCGTTGACCTCAATGATGCAGTAGCGCTCCGAGTGCGGGTCGAGCGCGTACTGGATGTTGCACTCGCCCACGATGCCGAGGTGGCGCACGACCTTTTGCGCGGTCTGGCGGAGCTTGAAGTACTCGGCGTTGCTCAGCGTCTGCGACGGCGCGACGACGATCGAGTCGCCCGTGTGGATGCCGAGCGGGTCAAAGTTCTCCATGTTGCAGACCGTGATGCAGTTGTTCTTGGCATCGCGCACGACCTCGTACTCGACTTCCTTCCAGCCGCGGAGGTCCTGGTCGATGAGGATCTGGCGCTCCGCGACCTTGGAGCCGGCGCCAAAGAGCGCCTTCTTGGCGAGCGTCGTGAGCTCTTCGTCGTTGGCAGCAAAGCCCGAGCCGAGACCGCCGAGGGCAAACGCCGCGCGGACAAGCACCGGGTACCCAATCTCGTTGGCCGCGGCAATAGCCTCGTCGATCGTCTTGGCCGGCTTGCTCACGGCGATGGTCTCGCCGATCTCGGCGAGGCGCTCGCTGAAGCGTTCGCGGTCTTCCGTGTCGATGACGACCGAGATCGGCGTACCCATGACGCGGACGTTGTGGGCTTCGAGCGCGCCGCTCTCCCAGAGCTCAATGCCGACGTTCAGCGCAGTCTGACCACCCATCGAGACAAGGATGCCGTCTGGGCGCTCCTTCTTGATGATCTCGAGCACCGTGCTCGCGCGGACCGGCACAAAGTACACCTTGTCGGCGAGGCCCTTGGAGGTCTGGACCGTCGCGATGTTGGGGTTGACAAGGATGACCTGGATGCCTTCTTCCTTGAGCGCCTTAATGGCCTGCGAGCCCGAGTAGTCGAATTCGCCGGCCTGGCCGATCGAGAGACCGCCGGACCCGAGGAGGAGCACCTTGCGGTACGTCGGGCGATCGTAGAGCGACGTGTCCATGAGCGTGAGCTTGGACGGCTGGCCCTTGACCTTCTCGAGGAACATGTCAAAGAGGAACGCCGTGTCCGTGGGGCCGCCGCATGCTTCGGGGTGGAACTGCACCGAGAAGAACGGCTTGTGCTCGTGGATGATGCCTTCGTTCGAGTGGTCGTTGGCGTTCATGAAGAACGTCTTCCAGCCCGTGGGAAGCGACGCCGTCTCGACAGCGTACCCGTGGTTCTGCGGCGTAATGTAGCAGCGCGTCGTGCGCATGTCAATGCAGGGCTGGTTCATGCCGCGGTTACCGTACTTCATCTTGTACGTCTTGGCGCCGGCCGCGAGCGCGAGGATCTGGTTACCGAGGCAGATGCCAAAGATGGGCTTGATGTCGTCGTCGTCGCGGTTGATGGCCCACCGGATCGAGTCGATCGTCTTCTGCGCCATGAGCGGATCGCCGGGGCCGTTCGAGATGAAGATACCGTCGTACTCGAGCGTGCTCTTCTCGAGGTCGTAGTCGAACGGCACGACCGTGAGCTCGACGCCGGCACCCGCGAGGTACCGCACAATGTTGTGCTTCATGCCGCAGTCGAACGCGAGGATCTTGGGCGACGCGCCCTTGTTGAAGACCTGGATTTGCTTGGGCGAGACCTTGGCCACGAGGTTCGTCTTGTTCGGGTCTTCGATCTTGATGGGCATCGACGCAAACTCAATCTTGCCGAGCATCGAGCCATGCTCGCGGATCTTCTTGGTGATCATGCGCGTGTCGAGGCCAAAGAGCGCCGGCACGTTGTGCGACTTGAGCCAGTCGCCGAGCGACGTGACCGCGTTCCAATGCGAGTGCTGGAACGAGTACTCGGAGACAATGAGGCCCGAGATCTGCACCTTGGACGACTCAAAGTTCTTGGGCAGGCCAAACTGGTCGAGCTCCATCGAGGGCACGCCGTAGTTGCCGACAAGCGGGAACGTGAGCACGAGGATCTGGCCAGCGTACGACGGGTCCGAGAGCGCTTCCGGGTACCCGACCATGCCCGTGTTGAAGACGACTTCGCCGCTCATCGAGTTCTTGGCGCCGAACGAGCAGCCTTCAATGGCCGTGCCATCATCCAAGAAGAGCGTCCCGCGCTCGACGTCGTCGGCGGCCTCGAGGGCGTTGACGACGTTGGCGCGCTTCGCGGCCGTGGGGCTCGCCGCGTCGGAGGCGTCGGAGGCAGAGCGCTTCGTGCGGGGCATTGTGTGATGTGTGTAGTTGGCCGCAAGTTGGAGAATGAGAATGAAACCAAAAAGTATCATCACCAACGCCCGTGGATATCTTTCTGCAACCCGATCCGGATTTCGCCTAATTAGGATCGCACCCCCGCGCCACACGTGACGGAGCGCATCCCCTACCCCGTCGGAGAAGCCCACGTAACGCGATGTGCGATTATGCAACAGCTTTTTCGGCCAATCAGCGCGCGCAAAAAGCAAAGCCACCGCCTATAACAAGACGAGATTCACTGGCCACCGCTGCTTTCAGGTTACCTCTGAAAACAAATACACGAAACGAGGACATGTCCTGATTCAACCCGACACGTGAAATGACAATGGCAATCGGAAAAACCCCTTTTGCGCAGGATCGAACCCGGGACCACTTGCCAGATTCTCTGGCGCTCTACCACTGAGCTGTTCCTCGTATTCTGAATTGACCCCATGGCAGTGGGTAGTATACACAAAATGTAAAATAAATATTTGGACAATACAGGCGCACAAATACAAATGACAGCACCACTTGAGCACACCAAGGTCCACAAGTCATTTTTTCACAAGACTCAAACGGTAGAAAACTGCTACGATGCATTTTGAAGCTCGAAATTGCCTCGACATGGCACCGAAGGGCGGCTCGGATGCTACTGGAACCTGAGCAAACGAGTGGATGGAACAAGCAGACGGAGCTGGTGGCGCAGAGCCAACTTGCCGTGGAACCTCGCGAGTGCCAATCACGTAGGTCGGACAAAAGGAATTGCGCCATATCACCCGCTGCACACGTATGCAGATGTGGCGTGCGTGGGTACATTTGGAATCAGGAACCCGGATCCAACAACGCCGGCTCAGCGGTCGCGGGCACGATGGGTAGCAGGCAGCTGTAGCAGGCGAGAGAGATGAGGCTGGTCGACTTCAAGTAGCCTCGTGATTTGTCAAACGACACATCTCGGCCATCTCGGCGGCCAATTTAAATAAACCGCATTCGAACGACCAACCGCAATGCCTCGTACGGTTGAGTGACCCGTGTCCTAGTTTGGAATGATAAAGTCTTGGGGGAAGGATTGTTGGTCATCCGCCGTGAACGGCCAACGCTCGTACACTGCATCTCGAATGTCTGCCAACAGATTGGTCTGCCGTGATTAGTCGACCTTGGAAAATTAGTTAATAGTCCATGGCCAGCAACGTTGCCGTCGACCAGGTCGCACTATCCTGACAATGACCGAGCCTTCTGGCGCGCGGGCAGTGTATCCTCAGTGGTGTATCCTTGGCTCTTTATTCGACCACGCGAGAGACGCAAAGTGCTCGTCACTCATTATGGTCGCCGATGCACCTGGTGTTCTGGTGTGCAGACGGCTGGCACGTTTCGACCTTGTCGCACCGCAAGGTCGGACGTTCGGGTCCAAGTCCAATAGCCCGCATGCTGCGGCGCTGGCGTAGGACCGGGCTGCTGCTCGGCAATGATTTCACGTGTACTCCGTACGCCCTTCTGGCCTGTCCCGCTACTCTTTTTCGGGCGCTTTGCCGAATGCTGCTCGGTCCGCGTCTCTTTGCGCACGCCGGCATCGCGCCGCTTTGACGTGGCCGCAGCGCTGCTAGTAGTCCACTCTTGCGTACTAGTCCTATTCTTCTGTCGCTACCTACTTGTTCGCGTGGTGGCAATTTACGTCCCCAAGAGCACGGTCATAATGTAGGGCCTTGCCATGACTGACGTCAGGTACAATGCGTTGAAACCAGCTTCAGACGAATATGCCAATGCAACATCAAGGGGGCATGTATAAAATCGGCAAAAATGCAAAATGGTCAACGCGTTGCCACGACGACGCTTTAGTTGGCTGGGAACGTGCAGTTGACGTTGGCAAGGAACGCCTTCTCGTCTGCCGAGAGCTGCGTCGTATCGAGGTACTGCCCCGTAATCTCCCTAGACACAGTGACATCGTCGTTGCTCGTCATTGTCAAAGCGCCGTACAGTGTCTTGAGCCGCTTGAGCCCAAACACCTCTTTCGGGATCCAACGCACGCCAGCGTTGCGGAGCACAAGCGACTCGACATGCGGGGGGAAGACGTGCTCTTGCAGCGATAGCTTGACGTTCTCGATCCACCTATATGTGCAGCATGTGTACGCATGAGCCATCATCACATATCTCGCAACAAGATAGATCTCCCTACAAGGACTTGAGCTTGGACTTAGTGAATGCGCCGTCGAGGAGGCTCAGGTCGTACTTCTCCGCGTTGAAGTTTTTCAAAACGCTACAGACCATCAAGCTCTTGCATGAGTGACAGAGGCGGACGTACAGCTCTGAAATGTTGGCCGCGCGGTACCCTTGGACGACGCGAATGGGCTCGGAGCGACCAAACGAGCCCATGGCACCGCGGATGCCAATCGTATAGGACCCGTTGACAGCCCAGTTGTTGTTGAGGCACTTGAGAGCGCAGCCTGTCTCGGCCGTGCTGTTGACACACGTCCCCAGCGACGACTGTTCGCACTTGAAGTCGCTGAGGTTGCTTGGGTAGTACACGCAGCTTTGCGCCTTGGCGCCGCCTTGGAGCGGGCAGAGGTTGCCACACAGCGCCGGCTTGGACGTGAGGAGATGGCCGTCGGGGCACGCGCTCACGGACGCGACAAAGGACGAGAGGAGGAAAGCCGTAGCGCGCATTATGAGGTAAATCGAGATATGCTCATGCGCAGGATGCAGCTGCGATAAGAGCTTAGTCTTCCAAGATGGAACGATATTGCCCTGCGATGCCGAGGACGCAGTGAGTGGAACATCACGCTCCTCGAACAACTCGTTTGCGGCTTTGGTACGCGCGATATCGGTGGAAGAAGACACGGTTGGCTGGGTTGCGAGAGTCCACAGCGTTTATTGACCCCTGGTCATGAGCGATCACACAGGTGCGTAGGAATGAAAACGCTGTGCCTTATTCTCTTGGGGTCTCGCACCATCCGAGCTCAAACAATTTGCCAAGATTATGAAATATCAACATCTCCTTGAATGGACGATTCGGTTTTTAAGAGACACACACGTAGCAGGAACTCGGCGGACTACTCGAGTATCTTAAAAGACTTTGCATACGCAGAGACTAGCAATCTCCTTTTTCTTCATTCGCTCGTCGGGCCGTGGCTGCGCAGGAGGCAATGCGGGGGCTCGTTCGTCTTCGGCAGTCGCCCGGGGGCGCTTCTGGCCGCGGGTGAGGCCCACGCTTCGTAAAGGCCTCGCGGGCTTCGCCGTCGGCGGCAAAGCTACGCAGTTTCTGGATCATGGTTAAAGAAATCGTGTTCGGAGAAGGTTGCTGAACGATGCCTTAAAGCTACGCAGTTTCTTGAGGTTATCGAGAGACGCGAGCGACTGAGGCGGCGTCAGCGACTGGAGGTCGCGGTGCAGGACGATCGGCAACGTGAGCTTGGTGCGGCCTGAAAAACATGGTGACTCGGGCGGGGCAAAGAAGCGGGCGGTGGCAATGTTGGCAAGGATGATTTCCATCATGCGCTGGCCCAACAGGCGCCAGCGCTTGCGGATCTCACTCAGAGTCTCAGCAGGACGCTGATACTAGTACAATATAATCGAGCTACCAGGTACATGTCCCGACGAAAGCGCTATCGGTACGAAGATTGCGACGCGAAGGAGCGATGTCTGTCCCAAGGACCCAAGAGAATAAAACAATGGTTGTTGCCTGGCAAGGACCTCTATCAGGATCAGCAGCGACGCAACGACGTGCCTTGTAGCGCGTTGTACGTTCAGCATGAACGCCTCGGAGAACCAATTCACTCGCAGAATCCTATACGTTGGGCTGACTTTGCCCATCGCTTGGCGCTTGGTGATGACGTGTCGTCTCGGGAGCGTCGCGCTTGCCGAGTTGCCTCGAACGCGTGTCTCCTTCTTTGTATGAGGGTCGTATCTACCATCATTCTACTATAGAGACCATCAATCCTAATTTTTGCTGTTGACGAAAAGGAGCTGGCCAATGGGATCGCGTACGAGCAGAATCTTCTCGAAAATCCCTATTTTAATGGCCAATCACAGCGCGCGATGGGGCCATCATTTGGGTTCAGTATGCTCCTCGTGGAGCTCTCAACCAGTCCTTCATCTCCGCTCATTCTCCAAAACACCAAGTCTCAACCATGGCCCGCTCCCGCCGTTCCGCTGCCCCCGCCCCTGCCCGCCGCCCCGCGCCTGCGGCCAAGCCCGCCCCGGCCCCGGCTCCCGTCCACGCCGCGCCTGCCCCCGCCCCGATGCAGCAGCAGTCGGGTGGTGGCGGCATGATGGCCGGCCTCATGGGCACCGTCGCGCAGGGCATGGCCTTCGGTACGGGTAGCGCTATCGCCCACCGCGCCGTCGGCGCCGTCGCCAACTCGATCGGCGGTGGCAGCGACAGCCAGCAGCAGGAGGCCGCCCCGGCCGCCGCCGCGCCCCAGCAGGCCAACCCGTGCGCGAACCAGAACAAGTCGTTCACGGACTGCCTCAACGCCAACAGCAACGACGTCGCCGCGTGCCAATTCTACTTTGACCAGTTCAAGATGTGCGAGCGCCAGGCCCAGCAGCAGTTCTAAGCGTCCTGCCTCCATATATTAGAAACACGTAACTAAGCAACGACAAAAGCGACACGTGCGTGCATTGTCTTGCACCAATACCCTCCTTTTCCTGTCTACCTTGGGGCTTTGAGAATCCGTACGCAGCATCATCGGTACTCAAGCTGATATAAGCTGTACTGCCTTGATAGAAGGCTTCACCAAGGGTCAATAACCCCATGGCTTCACTAGGAGTCAACAAGAAATGAAGAGGCGCCGAGACGACAACACGTGCGGCCACGCAAGGCTGCATAAACCCAGCAAAGTGACAGATCCCACCCGTCTTTTCCGCTCACGGATCTCATCTTCGATCAGCAATGCCCCCGTCCTTGCTAATGACGTGCTCTAGTGTCATCCTGATCAAGTCGGCAGCCATTCTTGCCAGCGATGCACAGCGGTTTGATGATGCTGCCGTCGTACAAGTATAGGTTGACATGCAAGTAGAGGTCGTCGAGAGTCATGACCTCAACTCGCCGCCAACAAAATTAAAAATCCACTCGAAAATATTGATAAATCCTGCCGATGGGTCTCCATCACCCGTCTCGCTCCGAGCGTCATCATGGACAGAGCTTACGTGGATTACTGGACAGGACATTGTATCATGCGCACGCCGTAGATCCGGCGATGACCATCATCGCTCGGTGCATGGTACAGACACATGACGCGTGCACAGGGTGTCCATGATGCCGCTGCGGCGACAATAGCATGAACATGCACGCGATACCGATGCATCATACATGATCACGAGGCGACGACGAAGACGTTCACTCCAATGTGGTGCTATCTGCGACAAAGTCGCTCTATCCCAAAGTCTGCCCTCGATGGAGGTACGCGCATTTTGACTACTAGCATTTTGCATTTGATTCCTTCGTCGGTCTTCGTAGCGCTCGCGGGACAACGCGCCGAACGACGGTCGCTTCTTGATTATCCACAGTGCCGCGCCCGCAATTGCCAAAACCTGCCGCGTAATCATCAACACTGGTATACAAACTCCAAGTGGATGTCGGCCCCCCGGATTGCATCATCCAAAACCTGCGACATGTGCGAGGAATGGCGAGGTTGACACAAGCGCTCATTTTCCATTTTCGCTTGCAAAAGCAAGATCAATACTATGCTCTACAAGATCGAGAACGTCCATGGCGTCCACGCCAAGATCGTGGCCGTCGGCGAGCACGAAGAGACGACGTACTATGTGGTCCAGATCCACCACGGCGACCGGTCCTACTACGTCGCGAAGCGCTACTCGGAGTTCCACGCACTCTGGACAACGCTGTACGCGGCTGCCCGCGCGCACGCCGCCCGCGACAGCTGCACGCTCTGCTCGCACCTCCCGCGCTTCCCGAAGAAGCTCCTCTTTTCGACCAAGGCCTCGCGCCAGCGCCGCTTTGAGGACCTCCAAGCCTTTCTGAAAGCCACGTTGCTCGCGATCCAAGGCGACCTCTGCGACGAAGCGCACCTCTGCGGTGGCGCGAAAGCCATTTTGAGCTTCCTCTCGGTCTACGACAAGAGCAACCAAGCGCTGACCATGTACGACAGCGTCCAGCTCGATACGATCTACCCGGACGCGTGGTACCGCAGCCGCCGTAACACCGAGGTGCTCTCCAACTCGACGAGCCACTCGAGCCACCGGAGCAGCCTCGATGTGCACGAGCTTGCGTTCTATGCGACGACGCCGGCTTCGTCCGCGGTCGGCCCTTCCTTGTAGAACCGTTATTCGGTCGTAGTATTATTATTAGCGCTTTGAAAATAGACCTATTTATTTCGCACTCTCCTCTCTGCCTTGTGCGTTGGCGCGACTACAGTCGGAGACAGGGTCATGCCCTTCGTAGGAGCACGTGAACCATGATGTGTGCCATGTGCCATTCCAGGAGCTGTGCCAAAAACTATGGCTCAATTCTACTAGCCTTGCGAGTACACTGAGAGTACATGAAGTCCAGCGGGCAAACCGTTGAATGCATTTTCAGCACCCGCTACAGCAGCTTGTATCTCTCTTCGACACATCGGTACGTTGAGACATACGAGAATGACTCGTTCTTGTGGCCTTGTAGTAGCACAATCCCCAGAGTTTGGCACTTCAAAGAACCATGTATTTCATCACGCATTCTTGATACATTGATACTGCGCTCGAAAATGAGCGCAGCTTTTTGTGCCATGTCTTTGAAATGACAGCGTTCTGTTGCTGTATCTGGACAAGGCGCTACCAACGTCCTATTCAAGCGGTGTGGGATCTTGCCTTGGGAGTCGCGCTTGTTGTTGGCAAAGGGCCAAAGAAAAGGGTCGGATTTTGCCAGGCATGGGAGTGGCGGTACCCAAATCTTTGTGATCGGCAACGTTGGCGACGCAAACGACGACGGTGTGTGCGCTGACGATCAAACAGCTAGAGTACCTGGCGCGTCATATTTTCTTATTGGCAAGCACCTATGCGGTTGGTATTGGTGGTACGAGCAGTCAGTTGAGAATGTAGATGGTGGGGTCCCGCCACGGCTTGTCCAGCGTGGACCAAGGGCTTGTAGTGAAGGTGGCTTGTAGTTGATGATCTAGACCACATTTTGGCTGCTGCTGCTACGTATGACTAAACTTGTCGCATGAGTCGGTCTCGGTGGTGCTTTGGCTCGAAGAAGGCCCCAAGATCTTGGTCGTTCGACGTGTTCTAGTGTGTCGGTGGGAACGTGGGTGCGTGCATGGCGCTGCCGTTTATTGCAGGAAATAATTAAACAAATCACTAAGCGCTACGATTCCTACACAGCGGCGGCTCTCGTCCGCGCAGACCAAGTGGTGCGCCTTGGCAGCCGCAAACTTCTCAAAGAGCATGTGCAGCGTGTCCTGCTGGGAGCAAAAGTGGAGGTTGTCGCCCAAAATTCCCTACGCGGCTTCATCAACCCAGCTCGTCATGGCACAGCGAAGCTATACCTCGGCTTGCTGGACGCGCAAGATGTCGCCGACAGCCGCGTCCAGCGTCGAGATCGTTCTGTCCTTCACCAGCTCCTACATCGTCCAGCGCATGAGCGAATACACAACTATGGTCGGCTACCGTGACGTCCGAGACCGAGTAGAGATTTACGACCGCGCCTAGCATCGCCTTGAGATCCATGGCGGAGGATCCATATATATACCACTGGCATCGACGATCGGCACGGCGGATATCCGTTGCTCCATGAGCGTGTGCAAGACGTGGATGAGCGGCGTGTCTTCGGGCACCGTGATGAGGTTCGTGAATGTGCCAATGCCGAGCTCGACGATCGACTGATCAAAGAGCCGGCGCTGCTCGCGGAAGGTCGAGACGAGGTACTCGAGGATGCCAAAGTGCGTGAGGATCGAGAGCACCGAGTTTTGCTGCGTGTCGAGGACCGCGAGGCGGTGCAGTTGGTGCGTGCGAAGCAGAAGGAGGGCCGAGAGGAGCGAGTCTTCGGGCGAGACGTACAGCATCTGCGAGTGCGTCGGCGGCAACAAATTCATGCGCAGGCTCAGCGCCTTCCAGGACGCAATGCTGTGCTCGGCCGCCGCGTTCATCGGCGATCCTGTGCTGTAAAAGTGGCGCAGGATGTTGACAAAGTCCGTCGACGTAAACATGCCCACAAAGCAGCCTTGGTCCGCGTCCCAGAGCGGCACCGACTTGATGTGGTGCTCGACGAGCGCAAAGAATGCGAGGTTCATCGGAATCTTGACGTCAAAGACGACCACTTTGCCAGAGTTCTTGATGACGTCGTAGCACTTGCACGTCTCTAAGAAATGGCGGATCACGCGCCGGCCTTCCTCGATGACATTCATCGCGTACGCGTCCATGCTCATCGAGAGGTCCAGGTTGCCTTCCTTGTACGCGTCCAGCCGAAAGTTTGAGAGCTCGCCAAGGCTAGACGACGGGATCTCGAGCGGCGGGACCGCGATGCGCACGCCCGCAAAGCCGCCGCCGTCGCTGCCGAGGCTGCCCATGTCCACGTCCATCGCGTCGTCGAGGCTTCGCCGGCTCGTGTACCCTTGCTCCGACATGCGGCGGCCATACGGGTGCTCGCCGCTCGGCGACGGGCCCATGGCCTCGGACGCAGCGCGCTGGGCGCGGCTCGGGTGCTCCGACGCCATCTTCTGGGGTCTGTGTGCCAATATCGGAAATCCGCGGCCCCGAGCGTCCTTTTTTATCCGCTACAAACTTCAAGACATAATTCAAACATAAAGAAAAATTACACTTCTTCGTTCCAATATTCTTCCGCCGCCTGTATCCGGATGCTGCAGGCGGCAACACGGAGGAGCTCGACGGACGCGACTCCATGACGCCAGCCATCGCGCGAGGTCCCACTGCGGAAGACGGAGCCAGGTTCATGCAGTCGAGCATGGCTGCGAGAGGATGGGATAGAGAGTTGGCGCTACATGGCTTGTCCAGGAAGCATGGACGGAGCAGCGAGGAGAGCCATGCGCGCGGCGAAGGCGGCAGCGTTCGAGAGATCGTCGTCGACCGATCTGCCGAGGTACGGCAACAGAGCTTCAATAGTGAGACTCTTCGCGCACGCGGTGTCCGGTCGCGACGACGTGCGTGGTGCAGGCGTCCGACTGCTCCAAGCTGTGCATCGGGCTGATCTCCCTGCCTTACAGCGGTCTGATGCATTCGCAGCCATCCTTGACTAAGATCTATATTGCTTTATTGGCGCCAAATGATCCCTTCATGCTGGAACTTTGGACGAGGACACGGCGCTTGATCCACTAAAGTCAAAACTACTTGTACTGTGGCGATTCAACATAACTTACTAGTCGACTACACGGAGCAGTGTAGTTACTCTTGTTCTCCGAGTCAGTCGTGGTAGCTTTGATCGTCGTCAGCGATTCGGAAGATACCTTATTGAGTCGCCCTCGGAGACTGTCAAGGGGAGCGCTCAAAGTGAGGCTTCGGCTCGTGCACGCGTCGGTCTTGGTCGTCCATATATACATGTACTGAGTAGCCTTCGCTGCGAGTGGGGCACGTTATCGAATGGCCAATTCCTTTCACGCAGTGGCCGCATCAGCGCCTCCGACAGTTGTCGCAAGGCAAAACAAAAAGGCGGTGACGCCGAGCAGCAAAAGAGCGCCGTCCATGCAAAGGCGGGAAACGTGACGAAGAAGAAGTTGCGGAAGAATGAATAGCAGCATGCATAGAAGGCGAGATCGTGGCGAGTTGGCAATTGCAGTGGCAACAAGAAAATCAAGAACGCTGGTCAATCCCACGTCAAGGCCAACTATACGCTGAGGCGACGACAGACTGTACGTGTAGCTGGCGCGATACTCGAGAAACAACACTGATCACGACCAGGCAACGGCCTTGTGTCGATTCCCAGTCGCAGGCCCCAGGTGGATCTTCCCATTGGTGCTTGCTGCTTGCGCCCACATGCACGGAGGTACAAGTATACAAGACACAAGTCGACGTACGACCTGCGCAGGACCATTGGTCTAGGACATTACAAAAACTGCCACCGACCGGGAGGTTCGCGCCATTTGTCAGCGTATCCGGATACGTCTTCAATTCACCAGAGCTGTCCACGAGCGTCTCGTGTCCTCGTCTGTGTGACAGCAGCCGCGTGGCGCGATCACATGTCGCCTTGTCGAACCTTGTCCACCATTTCGAGAGTGTACTTGTTTTTAGTATGCAGAGTCGCCCCAACGTCGTCCTGTCCACCGCTCACCCTGGTTGGACACAGCGGTGTCACAGTGGTGAATCCACCGCGGAGTACCTTTTATGAGTGGAACGCGCCAAAACGTTATCGTCAACCCACTCATTTTCCAATTTCCATCTCTAGCAACATGTTTGACAACGGCGGCGGCTTCGACTTGGTGCTCGTCACTATCGCGCTCTTTCTCGCACTGCCCATGGTCTTCTACGGCGCTGGCATCCCCACGTACTCGGCGCTCGTCTCGTGCTTCTTCTACGCGTTTTCCTTTGCGTGGATGTTTGGCCGCGTCGTCTCGAGCGAAATCACGACCGGTGGCGCTGTCGCCTTCACCGTCTTTGCCTCCGTTGCATTGGTCACGCCGTGCTTGGCGCCGTCCTCGCGCGGTTTCTTCATTGTGGGCTTCCCCGCCTTTGCGCTGACAGCGGCCTTTAGCAGCTCGGCGTCTCCGTTTCTCGTGCTGCTTGCTGCGACTGCGGTCAGTGGCGCGCTCGGCGGCTGGGGCGGTCGCCACCAACGCGCGCAACTTCTCTCGACGGCGCTCAGTGGCGCCCTCATGATCACACTCGCGATCTCCGTCTATGTCATCGGGAAGGGCGAGGACTCTAGCTACTCGACAACGTACCGCTACACGAACAGTGACGGCTATACGTACACGACGACCACCAAGAACAAGAACCGGGATTCAGGCTTGAGCCCAGACCTTGTCGTGGGCCTCTTTTTTGGCACGTTCCTCGTCGGGCTCCTCATTCAGGCCCAGTGCACCAAGCCGTCGCCGGAGGCTGCGGCCACCGCCAATGGCGCCCCGTACCAGGCTGCGTGAGCTTCTTGAGAGTACATCCGGTTTTGCGCTCATCTACCTAATCTAATTTGTCATTACACCAACTACAATATCACTCAGGATATGTTCTTGTAAATGCAAGTCTTTGCTCTAATCGTGTCGAACGGGGTAGCCGGTCACGTTATTAGTCGCTGCATTTTCCGATTATTTTGCAAATTAGGCGGGTTCCAAGAAGGGACTTGTACGAGCCGAAAGGTATACACCAGGACAAAGCAAGCGCCAGCCCGAGCCCGCATCCCCACTGCCGTACTGGCATGACAGTCACCGCGTACACGAGTGGCTCCTCGCCACAGCTTTCAGAGACGCGCTTCTCGTCATGTTCGCAAGTACGGTGTTGTCCTATACGACCACTCGACGAGCGACGGCAACACAACCTCGGACTCGACGACGGGCAAATAAGATGAAGGTACCCAAACCTCATTACGCGTGAGCTTGCAGCACGTTCCTCGTCAGTCGCTTCATTCAAACCCGGTGCGTCAACGAAGGCATCCTGTGACGTGACGACGACGCACGGAAGCTACATCACTCTTCCTTGCCATTTCGTTCCAGCAACAATATTCCAACACCAGCACGTTGATGGACCGCCTTACGCCGTACCAAGAAGCGAACGAGTGTGAATGCGGGCGTTGCAACCTCGTTGGTTTCAATAATTTTCGTCATGCCGGACGTTATACGCGACGACGATGACGCGTGGCGCCTGGATGTGCGCGTCGCTGTCAAGGCCCAGATCCAGGCTCGCGTTGCCTCCAAGCTCCAAGACCGCGACCTCCTCAACCCTTTCGACGAAGCGTTTGCAAAGGAGCCGCTGCACTGCCATATCTTGCACACGGCGTGCGATATCCTCAATAGTGTACGTGCCATCTCGTGGTCGCATCGCTCGATTTCATACTCGCCAGTGCTTGCATGCCTCGTCCATGGACACGATGCCGGTGCGTATGCAGCTTGAGATTGCCCATCGTCTTCTTGCCAAGGTGCGAGACCCTTCTGAAATGTCATCCAACACCGACCTCGTAGGAGGTAGAGCGCGTGCCGTCGCAAGACGAAGCCCGCGTCGCCAAGGCGCGCCTGCGCCCGCGGCGTCTCCGTTCGACAGCTTGAGTCGCTGCTGTGTGTGTCAGATGTGAATAAAAACAAAATAAATTACGCGAACAGATCATGGCGACCAGTCGGTGCGGCTTGCACAGGAACTCGCTGCGCGGTAAAAAAAGTGAGCCTTCGTGGGCTCGAAGGGCAAGCAATCCATGCCCGTATCGTCCTCCGAGAGCGCGTCAACACCGAGGAACGCGCGAAGGCGCGTGGCGGCGTCGCATGTCGTGTCGTCGTCGCAGAGGTCGTCTTGGAGCGCAATGATGAGAAGCTTGAGGTAGCTTCGGAGCGCGTCGAGGCGGCTGAGCGCGAGCTCGTGCGAGCGAAATATCTTCTTCTTGGGAAAGTCAAGGTCCACGACGTCAGTCGCGACCTCGGCGTGGCAGTCGTCGTCGGGCGGCGCGGCAAAGTGCGCATGCAGCGCCGACCAGAGCTCGTGAAAGTCCGAGTAGCGCTTCGCGATGCTCCACGCCGAGGTGCCATGCTCGACTTCGATGACGTAGTAGACGATGCTGTCGGCGGCCTCGGCGACGGCGGCGACCTTGGCCCGCAGCGAGCGCACTTGCTCGATCCGGTACACCATCGCTCGCTGCTTGTGTTTGTTGCTGGCAAATGTAAACTGAAGTCGTTGAACTAACGCTGTGGCAACTCGACAACGGCAGCGATTGGTCCACTGCAAGGGTGCCCATACGTTTGATTGGTGGATTGTGCACTTTTTGCGGATTGGGTAAAATGCAAAGAAAAAGTATCTTGTACGACCATCACTGCACCTGTTGTCGTTGCGCGCACCTATTTCGCAGCGCCAACGCCGAGCTGCGACGATACATCACAGCGGCCGCCACCGCGTATAGAACACGCCAGCGTCATCTTCACAATCCGGTTCTAACGCTCATCGTCACCGGCCCGTCCCATGATACTGGGTCCTGGAATTCCGACTTGAGAACACGGTCGACGACCATGCCGGTGCTTGAGAAAGTTTCATAGCATCAAATACTTCAAGTAGCATCGTTAAACATGCAACCTACTGCGCTTTACAGGTCCGCGACGAGGAGAATCATATGCAAAGGTTGCAAAGAAGCACCGTTCCCGCTCCAGCCTCATTGGCTACCTTGAAGCTCGGGCGTGCGTGCCTCTTTCTCAAGCTTCTTCTCGTCAAGCCGCGCGCCCATGGCGGCTGCGATTCGTAGAAAGTCGGCTTCGGATATCTTGAAGTGGCCGCGGCGCAGGACCAGGCCCCAACTCTTTGTCGCACTTGTCCACTCGAGGTGCGATTTCAGTCGCTGGATATGCGCCGGCGTACTCGGTATATATGCAACGTTGACGCGGAAGGGTCGAAAGGCCGGCGTCATCTGAACTTGATACGGCGCCGCGCTCGTGACGTACCCGATCGCAGTAAACTGCTGCAGCACGCGCCCGGCTTTCATCATCTCGGTGCGGGGCGAGTAGTAAATGAAGCCGTCACCGGGCCGCATGCGCCGGAGCTCATGGGCCTTGCCGTGGCACACTTGGGCAAAGCCACCCGCGACGCCCCGCTGTACGTGCGCGCCACTGACAACACCGACCCAGAACTGCGTCATACTGAAAAAAGGAAAATGCGGCTAAAATGATGAGTGAAATCTGTGGTTTCAACGCTGGAATTGCGCGCGCACCGATCTTGGCAGAGGCAACGCGCCAATACCCCAGTTCGATGCCCATCACCCTCGATCATTTCAGATGGCACTGGCTTGCTGTTTAAAACCACCTAGCAAATTGATTACCTGTATGTGTTTGTTTCATTGAGTGGATGTTTTAAACAGTTGGTGCCCGTCCAAGATTGCACATCGAAACGATGGCGGCAACGATCGATCTTTGCGCCTTGACCATGGCCGAGTACGAGAAGACCTTTAGCGACCCGAGCGACTACTTCCACCCGTGTCCAGCGCTCACGGACATCTACGCCTTCAAGGTAGATCGCACCAAGCACGACGTCTACTGCAGCAACGTCTACTGCTACGGCCTCTTCACGGTGCTGAACTCGTGGATGGTCAACGCCGCCAAGGCGAGCACGCCGTACTCGTGCCTCTTTCTCGACACGAGCACGAATAACAAGGTGCCGATATCGACCATGAACTGCACGAACGGGGCCCCGACGCCAACGTTTACAACCTGGCTGCCGTCGACTGCGACTGCCACGCCCGGGTCCACCAGTGCCTCGGCCACGCCGCAAGTCATTTTCCAAAACCAAACAACAGAGGCATCCAACAACAGCTTGTGGCTCGCTATTGTCGGCTGCACCATCGCAGTGGCGCTCATCGGCGCCTACGTCGTGTACCGACTCCGCCGACAACAGCGCCCGCAAGGAGCTGGCGACGAGTTTCACCTATTGGAAGCGACGCCGGCCAAGACGGGCTCTACGAAGAACACGCAAGCATCGTCAGCCGATGAAGTGGATGGGCTAGACGCGCTGCAGCTCTGGCGCCTCGATACGCGCGAAGTGACGCTCGAGCGCAAGCTGGCCGAAGGCGCCTTTGGCGAAGTCTGGTATGGCACCTACATGGACGAGCCCGTCGCGGTCAAGACGCTTCTCAAGACGACCGCCGCGACCGTCCATGCCTTCTTGGCCGAGATCCAGCTCGTGGCCAAGTGTGTATTTTCACTGTGCAATCTGACTCGATCTAAAAACGAGGCATGTAGGATGGACTGCGACCACATCGTTCGCTTCATTGGCGTCAGCTACAAGCGTCTCGCCGACGTCCAGCTTATCACCGAGTTTATGGACCGCGGCGACCTCCGCACCGCGCTCGTGGCAACGACGGTGAATGCGTACCCGTGGGTAGAGAAGCTTTCGGTCGCCCTTGCGATTGCTGACGCGCTTGTCTACCTGCATCTTCTTGACCCCAAGGTCGTCCACCGCGATCTCAAGTCCCGCAACATCCTCTTGGACACTGTCAAAGGCGCAAAGCTCACCGACTTTGGCATCTCGCGCGAGCAGTGGGACGATGAGACCATGACCATCGGCGTCGGCACGTACCGCTGGATGGCGCCCGAGGTCCTCACTGACGGTCACTACTCGACGGCCGCGGACATGTACTCGTTCGGCGTCATCTGCACCGAGCTCGACACGCACGCGGTAGTGACATCGCGTCGTGACGCATGACGTTGCACTCATGCAATATGATCTGATAGCTACCGTACGCGGACAAATGCACGCCGGCTGGCAACCCGCTCACGGAGAGTGTGATCATGGCCAAGGTCATGGCCGGCGAGCTACGGCCGTCCTTCCGCGACGCTTGTCCCGACTGGTTCCGCGCACTCGGAGCTTCGTGCATGGACGCCGACCCGACAGTGCGTCCGACAGCGATGGAGGTGGCGTATGCCCTCCGTGTGGAACTGCGGCGCGCTGGCGACGACACGGTGTAGACAGTTTTGTCGTGTACAGTATCATATATGTGTTCTGCGTCATTTCTGATGGCCCTATACCTTGCGCTTGGCGTCCTTCTTGAGCTTGAGCTTTGCCAAGTGCGCCTTGAGCTGGTCCAAGTCGCAGGATGCAAGGCCGATGGGCGCGTCCTCGCCGAGCGACCCATACAGCGCTTCAATCTTGCCGACGAGCTCGTCCTTCTCGCGCCGAATGGCAATGCTCTTGGTCTTGGCCGTGTTCCCGCCGCCGCCTTGCTTGAAGTCTTGGTTGCGGCGCTCAGCCGCGGCCGCCGCAATGTCGCGCTTGGTCCCGATTGATGGCTCGCGGTCGCCAAGGTCCCTGTACACGTCGCTGAGAAGGTTAGCCGACGGCGCAATGCGCGCGATGACCTACCCTTCGGCGATCGCTTCCTTCGTGAAGCAGCAGCCCATGCTCGTCACCTGCTTGGCGTCTCCTCGGCTGGCTGTCTCGCGGTCTCGGACTGGGCGAGATGTAACACGAGCTGATTCGTCCGTCTTCATATTCTATTTCCGAAAGATATGACACTGAGAACACTATTTCATGTTGTGCACCTGTGAGCGTACGAAAAGAGAGAGAGAACATCTCTCCTTACCGCTTCGTGCACTCCACGACGCACGCAAAGTAAGTGCTGCATGTCGTACGCGTACGTGCTCGTATTCTTCTCGCTGACTTTGCCCACCGATTTCGCACTTGACAAATTAACACTATACTAGTCTCAAAAATAGTATTCGAATCAGAGGTAATAGAGTGAAGTTGAAGAAGTTGAAGTTGTGGCTTCTTCATTCAACCTCGTCGTACTCGTAGCGGTAGCGGCGGGAGGGTGGGTAGTCGGGCGAGCCACACACAAACTTGATCATGACGAATGCGAATAGAAAGAGAAACGCAGCCGAGTAGAGAGCATCCTCCGAGTTGTACTCGACCTCGTCGATGGCATGGAGATGCTTCCGGCGCGCCACCGGCTGTAGACGGCTGTACGCCTTGCGCTCCTCGTCCCAGTCGCGCTGCTCACGCGAAATGGCCGATCGCTTCCACTCTTCCACACGCCGCTTGTTCCACGGCCGGTGCACTGGCGCCAAGTTGTCATAGTCGTTCTCAGGCCTCAAGTTCTCGCCCCGCAGGTCGCTGTCGGTCCAATTGGCGCGAAAGACGGCAGCGCGGAGTCGCGGCGGGCGGATCTCTCTGGTCGAGTCGCTGGCGTGCGGCAGCGCAGCCATGAACGAAGCTCTATAGTACGCGTTGTCGCTCCAACGCGGCTGCCGTTGGCCGTTGACGAGCTAAATTCAGAAAAGTCAGGCGCCATCAAGGGAGGGCGCCATCTTCCTCTATCGTACCATAGAGATGGTGCGCAAAATACATTTGTCCAGTGGTTCGACTACGAGTTATAGCGCTGTAGAATATATCGGAAGGTATCGAAGACATGTTAATCGATCGGTTGGTACTGCTGGAAGCGTCGGCGGCGGTGCAGGACTACCTTGAGCGTGATAAAGGCGAGCATGGCGACAGCGGCAACCATAAGAGTCAAAGACACGCCCCCATGCGCGCGATTCAATTGCGCAACCTCCTTGTTGGCAGCACCAAGGCGCAGCGACGGCTTGTGCCTGTGACGGTGCTCGAGGCCCGCTTGGAGTAGAGGAGCTTGTGTCGCACGTGCATTGCGTCGAGCGTCTTCCTCCGTGATATCTGTAAGTCCACGGAGGTCGTCGTCGGTCCACTCGATTTGCAGGACGTTGGGCGGTTGCGGGTGCTCGGTGTCGTCGCCAACGGACGGCGTCGGTTGGCGCTGGAGGGTGGAGGCATCTCTCGCGTCCAGTGCATCGTCTTGCATCGATGCGTGCTCGCCGCTGCTGCGCTGTCTGGGCTTCTCGGTCATGGCCCACGATTTCGCTGTAGCCTGCTAGTTCAGTTTTTTAAGGTTTAGGGCTCGAAGCCAAAGATAGATCGCCACCGTTGGCTCCTTGCAGATATACATGTATATCGAAGTAGTCTTGGTATGCGTGTTAGTCGACTCGTTGGACCCCAGCGACCAATAAAGGTGCTCCTCGCTGGACTACTAGCGCCTGCGAGACGAGCTGCACTGGTGACGCTATCAGCCAACTTTGCCGAGATGGACGGCGCAGACGGTCTACGTACCGTGTAATTACCCGGTCGCTCGCCTCGCTCCGAGCTCTCGCTACGTAGCTGGCCGATCGTACATATTGTTGGTGCTCGAGCGAAATGCATAACTCGGTCGCTCGGCTTGAACGACCGAGTGCGCGAAGCTCGGAATATACATTGCCAGAGGTTTGTCCGGTCGATGGTTGCAAATATCGAAAGTGACAGGGTATCACGCCCCAAAGTATAGAATTGTAAGGTGCGCCCCCACCCACAAAGAAGACGATGGCAGGGCAGCGGAAGCTCCTGAGCGAGATCGAGCGGACGCTCAAGAAGGTCGGCGAGGGCGTCGAGGTCTTCAACGCGATCTGGGAGAAGGTCTACTCGGCCGCGGGGCAGAGCCAGAAGGAGAAGCATGAGGCCGACCTGAAGAAGGAGATCAAGAAGCTCCAGCGCTTCCGCGACCAGATCAAGACATGGATCGGCAACTCGGACGTCAAGGACAAGCGGCCGCTCATGGACGCGCGAAGGCTCATCGAGTCCAAGATGGAGGAGTTCAAGGTCTGCGAGAAGGAGACCAAGACGAAGGCGTACTCGAAGGAGGGCCTTGCGCAGGCCGAGCGGCTCGACCCCGCCGAGCAAGCGAAGCAGAACACGCGCGTGTGGATCCAAGAGAGCATCACGCAGTTCAACGAGCAGATTGAGACCATGGACTGCGACCTCGAGCGCCTCCGCAGCGCCAAGGGCAAGAAGAACAAGCAGGAAGTCGAGAACCTCGAGCTCATCATTGCCCGCCACAAGTGGCACGTGCTCAAGCTCGAGCAAGTCGCGCGCCTTCTCGACAACGACGCGATCGACCCCGTCTCGGTCGACGCGCTCAAGGACGATATTGACTATTACCTCGAAGCGAACCAGGAGCCCGACTTCATGGACACGTACGGCGACGACGACATTTACGAAATCCTCGACCTCGACTCGCTCTCGAGCATCCAGTTCAACGCCGGTGGTGGCGACGCTGAATCGGAGCCGTCGGACGAAGAGGTGCCTGTTCCGACTACGCCGGCGTCGCGCTCGACCTCGGGCCGTGGCTCTGCTCCGTCCAGCGCGAAGAAGGCCCCGACCCCTCCCATTACGAGCATCGGCCGCCCTGGTGCCGTCAAGCCCATCGAGCTCAAGACGAGTCCGGCCGTGGTTGTGAATGCATCGCCGCCGCCAGCACCTTCGACCCCTGCAGCCCCGGCGCGCGTTGCGCGTGACCTCCCGCCCAAGGTGGCGACACCGGACCGCTCGTACGAGTCGCCGGCCAAGCCGACACCGGTGGTTGCGCCGCCCGCCGCCATGCGCCCGCCGCCCGCGATGAGCAAGATGGACTCGCCGGCACGCCCGATCGGGTACGGTGCGGCCGTAGCATCGGGCTCGTTCGGCATGACGGTCGAGACGGACACGGTGCCGGCGGCGCGCAAGCCGATTGGCACGCCCAAGGCGTCGCCGCCACCGGTGCAGTCGCCGCCGCCGGTCGTGCCTGCCCCGGCGCCCGCGCCGTACGTCATGTCGGAGGAGCGCCGCCAGCTGCTGCGGCTCATCGACGAGAGCTTCAAGCTCATGCCCGACAGCATCGACTCGGAGAAGGGCAACCGGTACGTGCCGCGCAACATGTACCCGACGCCGCCGTCGTTCCCGAGTGCACCGGCACCGCTCTTTGAGAACCCCGCGGTGTTTGAGAAGTTCGACCTCGACACGCTCTTCTTCATCTTTTACTACCAGCAAGGCACGTACCAGCAGTTCTTAGCGGCGCGCGAGCTCAAGCGCCAAGCGTGGGGCTACCACAAGAAGTACAAGACGTGGTTCAAACGCCACGAAGAGCCGCAGATGACGGGCGAGGATTTTGAGCAAGGCACGTTCGTGTACCTCGACTATGAAACCGGGTGGTGCCAACGCATCAAGACCGAGTTTACGTTTGAGTATAGCTACCTGGAAGACGAGCTCGTGGTATAACTTTAACGACAATATAAACGACCCACACACACATTGATTACGGTTGACGACTACATGTACCACCGATCAAACGCGTCCTCATCCATGATGTGCGTCGTCGTCGGCAAGGATGCCAGCTTCATGTCAGCGAGCCCGCGCGCGAGGTCGACGACTTGTGCGGTCGGGAGGGCGCTCTGACTCGCTGTTAGCTCCTTTACGTAGCGGGCCATGGCCACGTGCCTGCGGCTAAAATGCAGCGTCGCACCGCACTCGGCTAGGTCCCGGCTATAAGATCTCAGCAAGATCGACCCACGACTACCTGGCGTCTGCGGCAACGGCTTCATGTCGAGGCCGCGGCAAAAGCAGTGATGGCACATGTGAATGGTGCGCGGTGCGAGCTGGAAGACGACCTTGCACTTGTTGCAGCAGTCCATACAGACAACCTACGCCGGACTCGCATGAGAAACAACAGGCGGCCAAGATCACCATACGTGGCCGCACTTGGCGCAGTTCTTTCGCTTGACGAGCGCATGGAGCTTCTTCGTACAGCGCGAACACTGCTTGGTCGTTGCTTGCGACTCGTAGCGCTGAACGGGCACGAACTCGCCGTTGTCCATTGACGTCGTCACGTGGTCGTAGCACAAGTGCTCTTCGAGGCTCAAAATCTAGTCGGGGGCTCAGCACGCCTGCATAAAATAGGACAAATCGCTGTACGCGTTTGCACTGGCTGCGCTGCATGGCCGAGAGGCGCGGGATGTTGCCGTTCGCGAGCGTCACGTACACGGTGTAGTAGTTGAGAAGGCCTGGCGTGTCCGTCTCGATGAAAATGTGGCCGCTCTATGGATAGAGGTAGGATACGATGTCGTAGCCAAAAGTACAGTACACGAACAAACGCCGACCGGATGATGCCGTGCGACGCCTTGAGCGGCGGGCAGGAGTCGATCTCGATCGAGTGGAGGCAGCGCACAAAGCCGCGCCGGTGCACTTTGGCGACTTCGTCGTAGAAATCAAGCTCGTCGTGGATCTCGAGGAAGACGGCGTCGCGGTTCGAGACGGCAATGTACGGGCACTGGATGACGAGCCAGTCAATGCCGACGTAGCGAAGGGACGAATCCGTGTCCCGCGCCTCGAGCGTATACAGCGTCTGCCGGTCGAGCACGATCTGACCCACTGTCTTGGCGTACGTCCGTGCCTTCGGAAGCGTGTCGAGGTAGAAGAAGTCGGCAATTTGCTCGATCGTCGCGTGGATCTGTGTGTTGGCGACGGTCGCGGGCAGGTGCGGCTGGACCGAGTCGGGCCCTTCGCGCATCTACGCCGATCGCGTCAGTAGGACGACGAGTACGAGGAGGCGTACGCGAGCAAAGCGCTGGGTGACGTCGCTCTTGAAGACCGAGAGCACGGGCGTCGCCTGGAGCGTCATCGCATTGCGGACGCAGTCGAACGCCGCCTTGTTGGCGAGGTTAACAAAGTACTCGCGGTCGCACTCGTCGAGCGGCGGGCAGCGAAAGTGGTCGGGTGGCAGCGGCAAGGTCATGGCAAAAGCAGAAGTCCCAATGTGCCCCATCGCACAAAGTGCAACGTCAAGAAGCCAGATGCGCGGTGGGCCCGAGACAAAAGAGCACCTTTTTCCGGATTATAGCACCCCAGACAGGGAAAAAGCGCATGCGTTTCGGTGAAAGCGCACCAAATCGCTGACGATGTCGAGATCGCACTGCTGATGTCATGCATCTGGTCCAGCGTCTTGCTTGCAACGATCGAGCAGCCGCAAGGATTACCGCATACGTACACATGCTTGCCTCCCAAGCATGCTACCTTGCATGCCTGGTCCGCGACCAGACGACTCGCGCACAAGCCAACAAAGTGGAGGGCTGGAGGGGGCTGGGTCCGGTATGTTTTTGGCGGGAGGCGGCCACGGCTCTATCTGAAGACGATCTGGGTGCGGTGCACCTCTGTATCCTTCGCGAGCCGAACCCGTCAGCACCTCGGTCCCACGGACACGAACCAGAGATGCCCTTTTTACTTGACCCGGAAGCGATGACGTCAACCGCTTGCTTGTCTGGTCCCGCGGACACTAGAATCTGGTGGCGGCTTCCAGTGTCGTGGCACATGTGCGTCTAGACAGCTAGTTACTCACTGGATCAAGGACTGGAGCGTGGTCGCGGCAGCGTTTGGGCCGTTGCGGGAGGATGCTGGGTCTGAAATCTATCCAGATGAGTAATCACAACCAATCGTGGGGCCCGCCCTATCATTTTTACGCACAGTACAAAGCCGTGGCGCTTCGGGCCCACATCGCGCATGCGTGATTGCAAAGGCCTGATCTCATAAAGTCGCTGTACCAGTATCTTTCTGTGCTCAAACGTCCACTGTATTGCGTACTTTATGGACGTACGCTGCACGCAAGACTAAACAAAGAGGGATCTGCGCGGTGGCGACGCCGCTTCAAGCTTGAGCGTCCTTGCAAAGGCTGACGTTGGGTCCATCGGCGCCGTCTCGAGGTACGAGCAGAATGAGCTGCCGAGATCCAGCGTATCGACGATGCTTAGAATCGACACGTGGTATGGCACGTGATCTAGTCCGTCGTTCTGCGGTGACGCCGCCGCCTCCGAGAGGCTCGAGAGTGACGCTGCACCTGGCTGTATGCTGTTGGCGAGCCACTTGGTCGTCACGCCTGCAAATAAGAAATCACCATGACCCACCGTCCGGCTCAAATCGAACGAGGCACGCACCGTGGTGGCGGTGGGGCAGCGGCTGGACGTGCTGCCGGCCGTTGTAGCAAAACTGGCAGACGACAACTTGGGTACTGTGACCGCGGAAGACCATGGGCATCTTGAAGCAGCAACGCCGACATACCGCCTACCGAAAGGGATATCGCCAAAGTGTCCAAGCCAAAGACAAGGGTTATGACGCACCTCGGCGCAGAGCTCGCAGTGCCGCCGGCGCGACAGAAACGAGAACCCTCGGTCGCAATGTGCGCACACACGCCGCTGCGACTTGTCACCGTACGCGCGGACATGCGCCAAGCCGTGGGTCAACAGCTGGGTTTGCATGCGCGCAAGCTGCAGTGATTCTTCGAGCCGCAAGATCTACAGCAACCATAAGCCTCGTACGACTGTGGACACGACACGACCTTGGCGCACTCGCGACGAAGCCATGCGACGTTGGCAAGGCGGGGTACATTGCCCTGGAGATCGACGGCTTTCACCAAGTAACAGTCGAGGACGCCGGGCTCAGATGTCTCCAAAAACACATGTCCGCTCTACTCAAATACAGGTGTGAGTATGCCGGCGACTGCTGCTCGCTGAGCACGTCATCGTACCCGGACGATGCTCGCGCGCACCAGATCGTGCGACGCACGCAAGGATGGACACGCGTCCAGCTCAACCGAGTGGAGTGCTCGGACAAAGCCTCGCCACTGCACCGGTTTCTCCGGGTCGGCATACGAAAACTCGTCTTGACACTGTTATGTGCATTTTGGTGAGCAGTAGGTAAACATGTGAGTATATACCTCGAGGAAGCACGCGTCGCGGTTGGCCATGCCAAATGGGCATGCGGTTGCTGCCCAGTTGAGCGTCACCGCGTGGTGCGGAGCCGTTTGGTGCGCAAGCGTAAGGAGGCGTTGACGGTCGACGATATTTGTCTCGATCGCACTGGCGTACTCGCGCATCTTCTTGGGTGTGTCAATGTCGAAGATAGCAATGATGTCGTCCAGCGACGCGCGGAGCTGCGTGTACGCGCACACTGCATCGGCCTCGGTACTGCAATCCGTGGCTTGGCTGAGCTACGAGTATTCGTTGCGGTCAAGAGTTGCCAGTACCGTGTATGTAGTAGTAGGTACCCGCGCCTTTCGCTTGGTGAAGGGGCTCTCGACGACTTGGATGATGGGCGCGGCTTGGACTGAGAGTGCATTGACGATGGTGTCTCGGCACACGATTGATGCCAACTGCGCCAAGGTGTGGCGCTCCATGGCTGTGAGCGACGGCAGGTTAAAGTAGTTTGCCGGAAGTGGCAGCGTCATCCTTCGACGAAATGGAAAAGTGACATCTTGAGCCGTTGACAAACTTCACAGCTTCACAGATTGCGAAATTTGTAGTGGAAACATTGTCGGCACACACTATTCACAACAATCTGAAATCACGCCACTTTACCCTCGCTCGTCTAAAGTACAAATGCTGTGCTCGATAAGCTTGCTGCTGTGCAGCGTATGCTGTGGTAATAAATGCAACGCGGACAGAGTTGGGACGGGCCACGTGCCAGACATGCTTGCATATCTGGCGCGCATTGCAGTGTGAGGTCGTTGAGTTGCGTGCGTTCAGTTGCTATAGCATGAAGCACACACTATTTCAAGTACTACGACCAAGGACATCACGTCCACATGACGACGCCATGCAATCTGTGCTGGTGTCGTGATGGGATAAACGCCAACTGAGTTGAGAGAAGTCCGATCGAGTAGGAGACTCTGCTGCAGTCATAGCTGTATTAACAGTGCCAAAAGGGACTCAAAGGGTAGCAAATCTTCACCCGTTCGGAGCGCATCGTTCACCTAACAGCCGACGTCTACCCAGAGTCCGCCGGACGCCGACATTACTCGCCACTGGAATCATGGCGCCTTTGGAATCTGCCAAGCATCCAATAGGGTTAAATAGGTCGCAGGTCGTCATGTCCTTGATGCGCCGAGACTCGCGATTGTGACGAGCACCTGCATCTTGCCAAGTCCTCCTCAACGCTAGTAGAAGCAAACGGGACAAGTCAACTAGCACAGCTCGACTTTTTCGGTGTCGTAATCGTTCTACGATGTAGACTGCTCGATGCAGATCAACAAGCTCGTTCACAGCGGCCATTCGCCGTGGTCGCACGTCAAATTGTGCACCGGTGGCATGAACGGACGGACAAACTTTTACTTAATCACTCACTATTCGTCCTATGCTGCGTTGGGCTCGTACACCCTATTTGTTGATAAATACAAAGTAGCGCCGACCCCAGATCTTAGTAGTCGGGGAGGTCAATGTCGTGGAAGTCGACAATCTTCCACTCGCGCTTGTCGGCGTCGACGGGCGATTCGAACGACCAGAGCATCGACGACGACTTTTGCACTTGAAAATCGCGGTGACCGGACGTGACGCGCACCGTGTGCACCATATCGCAGTGCACCTGCAGCTGCATTTTGTCGTTGGCGACCGACGCCTGGAAGACGGCCACGTTCTCAAAACGAACCTGCCGCAGGTCGTAGCGCATGCCTCGCTTCTTGGCTTCTTGGATCTCGAACACGCACGCATCAAAGCGGCGGACCGACATGATGTCTTGGAGCCATTGCACGTCGCCCGACATGGTCGATGGATCGGCCACATACGCGCGAAACGCGTCCGAGTACATTTGATGCAGCACCGCGTCCACAGCAGTCTTGGCGCCATCGAGGAACTCATCCATGGCCAGCGGCTCGTCGAGCTCTTGCAGGCTTGTGCACACGTGCCACTTTTCTCGTGCCGGGAGCGACGGCGCAAGGCTGCGGCGAAGCTCGTGGAAATGCAGAAGGCTCTTGGCCTGGTGGTAGAGGCCGCGCAGGAGGGCGCTGTGTGGGGCCACGGGCAGCGGCGACGAGGACGATGCGAACCGCTTGGACGCCAGCGTCGGCGTTCGTCGGACAATGTTATGGAACTGGAAGCGACGCATGACCATGTTACTTCAACTGTGAGTAGAGCCGCTTGCAAAATGGGCTCAAAATGGTCGAATGAGATCCTTGGCACGAATTTGAATCCGTATATGTATAGTGTTAGTAAATGAAATAATGTTAGTACGTCGGCAACGGTCGTATGTCTCGGGACGCTACTACGTCGCGCTGAGCGCCAAAACCACCCACATAAATATGAAAAAGGTATGCTCTCCGTCAGCGGACGCCGTTTGACGGTAGGAGACGTCTACCACGTGCGTCGTCACGCTGCTCTGCTACGATCAACGAAGAATATACACTATTTATGAACCGAACGATTGGGCAATCGGCGTGGAAATAGTGTACGTTTGACGATCCGGATATATGGGGTCGCTTGTTTATCCGTACAAAACGTGGTAAGACAACAAAATCTTATGGCCGCCGCTCGGATCCGAGCGAACAGAATGGGATCTGGTCGGCTCCGATTGGCTCGCCGCTGGTTCCACAAACGGTTGACGCGACTTTTCTCAGTCCCGCAGCGTCTCGCACAGCGTCTGCACGCGAGATTCTGGACGCTCAAAACTCTGTTTCACGACGCCTTCCAGTGTTTCGTGCACGCACCCCTGACGAAAATACTGCTTCGCGCTTTACGCCGCCATCACAAGAACAGGACCTCGGTGTCGTCCCGTACTTGAGGTCGTCGTGGACAATGGCGGCGCGGCAGCTCCTCCCAAAGCGGTCACGGCCTTGGACGCTGGGTGTCACAGGTCCGTGCGCATGACGTGGAGGTCTGCGTGGACCAATCTTGGCGCGACGTGCGTGCAGCTGGCACGGTGGACGATTCAGTCCGTGCCAAGTCGCAGGTCGGGCAAGAGGCGTGCGCCCTGTCGCGTGAACACTGGCACGGAGCGGCTTGCGCCAAAGCTGGCTGTTTTCAGCAACAACGTACGACGATATGCGCAGAGGGTTTCGCTGGTGGCGTGGCTGCGCTGCCTCTATCGCTGCAGCTGCCTCTTCTCTTGCGCCCCGTGGCGCATGGGTGCTGCTGTCTCCGACGCCTCCAGGCGAGAGCCTCCTGGTGGCGAGGCGTTGTGCAATCTTTTGAATTCACACCGACTGTGGCTGCATTTTTCACATGGGTGTATTTTCCACCGTGTGCTTCTTTATCCGGATGAAGCATCATGGAACCGGAATTTGCGTCGATGGCTTCGAACCGGAAGCAGGTCCTTGAGGAAGATGCGTACGTTGAGGCGCTGGACGCGATCATCGAGCGGGACTTCTTCCCGGATCTGCCCAAGCTCAAGTACCAGACCATGGTAGACATCCCGCCCCAAGGCTGCAAGCCTCATGCGTCCTCGCACGTAGTGGCTCGATGCGCTCGCCACGAAGAACGCGGCCCTGATAGCTCAAGTCCGCCAGTACATTGCCAACGACCAGCAAAAGCGCCCGCAGACGAGAACGAGCTCAAGGTCACAGCGTACGCTCTTACGCCACAGTGACGCCGAGCTCATATCTGGGCGACACCACTAGAAGCCCACACAGGCGGCGGCAAGCGCAAGCGGGCCGACGACGAGGCCACATCGTCATGGGATGTTCCCACACCGCCACGCGTCTCGAGCGATGTTGATGAGCCGAACGAAGACGACGCCACCATCGACGACGCCGGCGAAGCACCAAGCACAGCAACAATGACCCTGAACCACTTCTTGGTAACCTGTCGTTCGAGGGTGCGCAACGATGTGCTGACGTCGCCATAGGCAACACACACGTCCGAGGACAATGCAGCGTTCGAGGAGCTGCAAGAAAAGGCCGTCGCCGAGCACAAGAAGAAGTACCACTGGGCGTTCGACGACGACCACGCGACTACGCGCTTGCTCCTGCTCCCCGACGGCACAAGAATGACCAAGGAGCAACGGCTCCTCATGGACAAAGCGTGCGACACAAAGCTCGGTGGATCATCGCATCCGATTGCTTTGCGCTCAATGCTCATTGTAGCCTTGGAAGACGCGCGACCTGCTGCACCTGACACGTGGACCTTCCGCGCCCGTAACCAGCTCCTCTTCCCGCCCGACCTCGCGACGTCGCGGGCCATCTGCAAGGTATGAAACACGTCAAGGACTCCTTCCATAACACTGTGCGTTTAGCTGGAAGCAACGGCGCCGGGCGACGTGCTTTTGCTCGAAAACGGCCCAGCGCCGCAAAATGGCGCGCTGACCAAATCGCTTCGGACCGGCGCGGTGGCCAAGAAGCCAATGGAGACGGTGTACGCCAACTCGCGCTTCTCGACTGCGTTTCTAGCGACCCAAGACTTGGCGCCCGACGTTGCGCCGGATGCGCCGCTGGACTTGGTGGAGATGACGCCGCTCATTGTGCCTGGCGACCAGAACGGGTCGCCGCTCATGACGTGGGGCGACATTGCAGCAACACCGATGATCCTTCCGAGCGAGACGCCTGCCCGTACGTGGACCAGCGTGTGCGCCGAGTGTGACGTGTGTGAGCTTAGATCGCCCTGTCTTTGAGATCAAGGACAAATCCAAGCGGGAAAAGCTGGCGCTCGCCATGGACGCCAAGAACAAACAGGTCTTTTGGCTAACCGCCGACGCCGGCTGGCTCGGAGGCTGACGCTGCATTTGGTGATTAGCGCATGAAGGCCAAGAAGACGCCGACGCCGTTCCGATCGACGCCAGGCCGAGGCAAGGCGACACCGACGCCGCTTGGCAGCGTCTTCCGCGCCGGCGCTTTCTCAGAGCTCCGTGCGAGCTACGCCACGCCACTTCGTTCGTCGGGCAAGAGCAAACCACCTAAAAAGTGAACACTCATCTCTGCTTTCTTCAACATGTTGCTGCTGGGCGATGGGGTGTGCCGGCGTCGTGGCAAGCCCGCTACGGTGCTCAAGACCACAAGGTCCGACTAAGTTGTACGATCGAGAGCAAACCACCAAGCACAAACCACAAAGCGAGCATGTCGTCGACGCCTCGAGGCAGGGAGCACGGGATGCCTCTACTTGGCCTACGTTGTTGTTGAAGCAGCCCACTTCGATGTCTTGATTCACGCCACCTGGAGAAGGCTACTCGACCATGGCTCGCGCCAGATGCAGCCTACGGTCTTGTGCAATCGGCTACGGTTGACGGCGCCCGTGCTTTGAGCTGGGTGCTTTTAGCTACGTCCACAACGCCCAGGGGAATCCAAATCGCAAGGCGCGGCTGGCTTTTGCCCCCTCCCCTCCCACCACACGTAGATCAGTTTGCCGCTGGGATCGACTTGCCATGTCAGATGGTGCGTGGGTACTGCTTTTGAGTTTGGTGTCTGAACTTGCCGTTTGAGCCCGCTTTTTGAGTTTCGACCCACTCGGATACCGCTGAAATGGCGCATCGCTCGCACGTACGTCGTCATGACCATCAACCGAGCGAGTGGATTGATACGAATGTAGCATCAATCGACTGGTCGCGTGCATCGGTGGGGCAAACATCCCAATGTCGATGTCGGTTTTGAGATTGGCGTCTCAAGTTGCTGTTGAGCTTGCCGTTTGAGCTATCACCAGCAAAGATACCGCCGAGATGGCGCCACTCGTGGCAGCCTTCGTAGGACGGCATACGAGTGCCATGGACCGTGCAAAGTTAACCGGTTGCAGGCGTGCGTACTGACGCGATATCGCCACGGTTGGCTCCACCGTGTTGCTTTTGACCATTGTCCAATGCTCCGCACCCGCCTCAAGTCGACTTTGGCTGCCGTCGCCACTGCTGCCGAGGCCTCGCCCAGCCTACGCGACGTTCCGGTCGCGCCAGAGTGGGGGTTTGGCCCATTGCGCTGCAGCTTTGCGCACTTTGCGTCGAACAATGGCTTCCGCTTCCTCTTTGAACGCATCCACGCTCTCCACGCGTCGCTCGGCCCGATCCTCCGCGTCCGGTTCCTTCCCTTCCAGCGCTACACGGTGAGCATCTCGGACCCGGACGCTGTCGCCCTTATCTACCGACACGAAGGCGCGATGCCCGAGCGCCAGCTCTTCGCCTTCTGGCAGCTATACCGCGACGAGAGCCGTTGGCCGTTGGGCTTGACCAACACAAACGAGTACGCCGAGTGGAAGCGATTCCGGCTCGGCATGAGCGCGCACGTGCTTCAGCCGCACAATATGAGCGCGTGGCTGCCGCGCCTCGACGCCGTCGCCCGCGATGTCGCGTCACGCGTCCATGACGAAGCTCGTGCGTCATCGAGCGGCGACGTGCCCATGACGCTGACGACCAAAGCATTTGCGCTCGAAGCCGTCTCGTCGATCGTCTTTGGTAAGCGCATGGGCTGCCTCTCGCCCAACCACTTGACGCCCGTGTCGTCGACGGCAGAAGCTCTGATCCGCGCGGTGGACGGCTTCTTTGAAACCTCCCAGCAGCTCCTATCGGTGCCGCCCGAGGCGCCCCGCATCGTGTATAAGCTGCTGCCCGCGTACAAGGAGCACGTGGCGCACGCGGATGTTATCTTTGGGCTCGGCCACGACTTGATGCGGGAGAAGATCGCGTCCCACGAGGTCTCGGAGCCCGATTTGCTGACGCTCTTTTTGCAGCGTCCGGAGCTCACCGAGCGCGACGCGATCGCACAGGCCCTCGACGTGCTCTTTGCTGGCGTCGACACGACGTCCATCGCACTGCTCTGGGCCCTCTACTGTCTCGCGACATCGCCCAACAGCCACGAGATCCAGCGCAAGATGCGCGCCGAGGTCGAGGATGCGCTCGACGGCTCCACGGAGTTTGACGCCGTAGGCCTCGAGAAGCTCTCGTACATCCGAGCGGTGATCAAGGAGACGCTGCGCTTGTATCCGGTGGCTACGCCGAACCAGCGATTCCTCTCGCAGGACATGACGCTCCTCGGGTACGATCTCCCGAGAGGAACGAACGTACTCATGGCCACCTACTCGATGAGCCGCGACCCAACCGTGTTTGATGAGCCAGAGAGCTTTGTGCCCGACCGCTGGCTCGAACGCGATCGCAAATCGCCCATGCGCCGCAAGCACGAAGCGTACTCGACGCTCCCGTTCGGCATGGGCGCGCGCAGTTGCGTCGGCCGACGCCTCGCCGAGACAGAAATGTATCTCTTCTTGGCCCACCTCGTTCGCTGCGTTGAGATCCAGTGGGTGCCCGACGAGACGCACCCGCAGGCGGTCCTCAAGACGATGCTTGTGCCCGACAAGCCCTTGACGTTCCGCTTCCAGCCATGGACCTCGTAGGTGATTTGGTAGTACGTCTTCATACAACGAGTACTGCTGTGTGGATTTGCATTTTGCCACCGTCATGGACAATGCGATACCACAAGAAGTGCTACTCGCGAACTTTGCGCATGAGCTGACCACACGTTGTGGCGAGGGGCGGCCGCCATGGCACCCCTACCCCCAGTGTGACACCTGGGATTTGGATCGGTGGCCGGTTGACTGCCTCGCATCTTTGCCGGCTGTGTTGAATCAAATGACACATAGGATGTAGGCAAGCAGATAGAGGTATATTCATGTAGAGGATGTTGAGGTCCTTGGGATATAAAAGCAGTTGCATCTTAGAACTCGAAGACCTCCTTGTGAAAGTCGAGGCCAATCGCATATGCGTAATGCTGCGCACTGGCGACGAGGCCCGGCGGACCGCAGGCAACGACACACACGGACGATTGAGGCGTGAGAAAGCGCTGGCTGTTGATGATCTCGTCGAGCACCGGCTTGCCGCAGGTATAGTGGACCGTCTCCCCTGAACTGCTGCATACGACACCCGGCGCGTCGTTGGCGGTCGTCGAGCAGTAAAACTTGGCTACCACGTTGTGTGCTGCGAGTGGGAACATGAGATCATCGGCGCTCAAGAGCTCGGCCGGATCGCGGACGACCCAGTGCAGCTCCAAGCGCGTATTGGCAGAGCCGCTGCGCGACTGATTGAGCACGTTTAGCATTGGTGTGATGCCGATACCACCGCAGATGAGAATTGCGTGCTCGTACGAAGCGAGGTCGACGGTGAAGCGGCCGTATGGCCCGCCCACGTACACGGCCAGCGACGCATTCTCCATAGCGGCCGTGTACACCTTGTGGCCAAACGAATTTGCGTGGGGGGCCTTGATGCAAAAGCCGATCGTGTCGCTTGTAGGTGTCGCCACCGCCGAGTACGGGTGCCACTCGAGCCGCGAAATGGACGGAACGTTGACGTAGAAAAACGAGCCGGGGCTCATGCGCGTCGCCCAGTGCATGGTCTGCGGCGTTGATGGCAGCGAGAGCGTCACCGTCGAAGGGCCAGTGACGCGCGCGGTAGCGTCAAAGCACTGGCGGTACGCGCCAAGACGATAGAGGCCGCTGAGACCGTAAATGATGAGCGGAAAGGCCATGCCGATCGCGACCGTGTGGCTGTGCAGCATGCTGAAGAGGATGCCGACGACCGCAGCGACGCGGTGGTAGTAGAGAAACACCTCGTAGCAATGGCGTCGAATGGCCCAAAGCGCGACAAGGCCGAGCGATGTGAGTGCGAGGAACGCGACAAAGCCGTAGAGCGGCACCACTTGCTGCGTCCCGTACGGCGTCGACGAGGTCACGCGAACGTTGCGGGCGTTGAGGATCAAATGCACGATGCTAAGGAGCACGACAAGGCGTCCGAGCATGCGGTGAAACAGCAGCGCTCGCTCCGGCCCAATGCCAAAGATGAGCGTCCAGTGCTGGCCGCGCGCAACGGGCAGCAGCAGCAACATCAGGTGCACGAGCGCGAAATGGCCCGTCACAAGCGACGCGATGCGGTCCGCGCTTGCACCAGCAAACTCACGCTGGAGCGATACGACGACGACGACGAGGGTCGCTGCGTAGATGCTCAAGACGACAAGCGACCCGACATGCAAGTCTGCGAACGGCTGCCAAAGGTGCGCACCCCACGCGTGGAGCGAAGACGGCGGTGGTAACAGTGTCTTGAGCGGAAGTTTCTTCAACCGCGCAACGTACGTGACCAAGAGCCCGGAGAGCATGACGAGAGCACAGCCAATCGCTACGATGATGGTCGTGCGCGTGGTCACAAATGTTGAGGCAGCGGCAAACACACTTGTCGCCGCCGTCGACGTGGTCAGCTGCACGCGGGCAGCCCCACGAGCCGTGTGGTACGATGGGAAGCCCACGTCGCCGTGCGCCCAGAGAACGGTCACGGGGTCGGTGGTCCCAAGCGCGACGTCGGTCGCCGTTGCCGCAGCCAGAGTCCGCTGAAACGTGAACGAGGCTTGGTCCTTGGTCACGAGCGTGCGGGCGACGGTGATCGACGACTGGTTCGATTGCAGCACGACTTGCGACGGGACATAGTCACGCAGGTCGTACACTTGTACGACGGGTGGCACACTGGACGACAGGAGCACAGCTGCGTTCGAGACGGGCGAGTTGACCATCTTGGCCGAGGCTGCAAACCCGAGCGCGACCCATTGCGCGCTGGCGGCCGACGTCGTCACCTCAAAGCACGCGCTGTCACCGACAACGAGACTGCGCAAGGAGATGGAGGGCGAGAGCGCGACAGACGGCACTGCGGTGAACGCCGGTGACGAGCAGATCGACACATCGGCTGCGATAAGCGGCAGAAGCAGCACCGCAGCACTAGTATCGAAGCGCATTGAGAAGAGGAGGTGCGATTGAGTTTTGACAGAGCGCATGGGACGCCCACAACAATTGCAAGTTGGAATTCCGATCGCGACAGTGCTTGTGATTGGTGGATCTGCACATCAAGATCCAACACGCGCGCTTCGATTGGTGCGTCTAACTTTTGAAATTGCGTCGGATTGGCCAATTTCGGTCCATTTTGGAACGCGGACTGTTCCAAACTCAACCAGTCTCGACCTGCCTGGGATGTTCGCGTCCTTTGTAGTGTCAAGTGTGTGCGAGCATACTTCAAGGTCCCAATTAAAAAGAAGGCGGATGATCGAAGCCGGAGGAGCCGTATCTGTAGACATATCCGTGGACTCTGACATTGAGAGGCATTGGATGTAACTAGGACTGGTTGATACTTGTCCGCAGCGACTATGTAATGACATCCATCACCCTGGTGTTCTATTGTACTCGATGCAGCTTCTTGCAGTGATCGCGTCGGTTGCGCGTGCTCTTTGCAGCGTGTGTCGCCGATGCGACTCACAGCACGCGCCACGTATGTACGTACGTGTACGTACAAGAATGTACGGAAACAAACCAAAACGACGTGGTGCATCGGGTACTGCTCCTGCAAAACCCGCCCACGACAACAACATGAACGATCAGTTGCAAGTTTGTGGAATCAGTCGCGCATGACAAAAATCGGCCACATCTAAGGGGTTGCAGAACCACAGTGCTCCTACGTACATACGTTGGAATGTACGAGATACGTACATGGTCCCGGATGGCGCTGGCGCTATTTCCGGCGCGCGTTGGGGCCAGTTCCGATTGGCTCGTCGCCAGCACAAGATACGAGCGCGATGGCGGCAATTTGAATCTGTCGATGGCCGACGCAGCATCTCCCGTCTACAAGCTCGCGATCCTCGGTGGCGGGCCCGCGGGCATCGGCATCTTTGTCCGCGCCGCACGCCTCGGGTACCTCGACAAGCTGCTCTCGCTGGGCGTCGTCCTCGTGCACGGCGGGCCTGTCGCGAGTCTGGGCCGCGGCAACCTCGGCGACTACATCATCAACTCCAACACGTTTGCAAAGAGCTTGCTCGGTAGCGTCCTCGACGAGAAGCCCGAGCTAGACCCGCCCGAGTCGATCCGGGGCACGTTTCTCGAGGGCCTCGAGGTGCACCCGGCGGCCCAGCGGCTCTCGGCGATCGGGAACGCGTCCATCAACCTCGTCGAGCTCGGCAAATTCCTTGAAGCCATTGGGTACCTCGCGCGGCTTGAGATGCTCAAGTACCCGGGCCAAAGCGCATGTCTTCACGAGACGACGGCGACGCATGTCGAGCGCTTGGCATCGGGTGTGTGCCAGATCACGATATCGCACCACGGTGTCGAAGAAACCATTTTGGCCGACCACGTAGTCCTCGCGATGGGGGGTACCCAAGAGCTCCCACCTGACCTGGACCCGACGCATGTGGCCAAGGCGTGGACGTCGGACGCCGTGCTGCGCGAACCGGGGCGCCGTGCCCTCGCCAACGCGCTCAGTACGGCCAAGGACAAGAAGGTGTGCATCATTGGCGGCTCCCACAGCGCCTTCTCGGTAGCTTGGGTCCTCCTCAACAAGATGCAGCCAAAGCCCAATAAGCAAGAGCCGAGCATCACGTTTGGCCCGAAAGACCTCGCGCTTTTGCACCGCGGCCCGATCCGGTGCTTTTACAACACGAAAAAGGAAGCCGAGGCCGACGGGGTCAGTGTCGAGAAGGCAGACAAGAGCGGGTCCGTCAATACCTTTACGGGCCTCCGCGAAGACGCCAAAGCCTTATACGTTGCCGCGTCGTCCGGCCACGAGCCCCGGCTCAAGCTCTACATGGTCAAGAAGGGCACAAGTGGTGCAGCGCTGCAGAAGCAAGCCTGCGATGCCGCCGCCGCAATCGTGTGGTGCTGCGGGTACACGACCAAGATGCTGCCCGTCACGATCGACGGGGCACCGCAGACGTTTGCATCGGCGCGGGGCGCCATCAAGGTCGACCTCGCGGGCCGTGTCGTGCAAGCGCACAAGTCGGACGGCCTCGATTGGCTCTACGGCGTCGGCGTCGGGTTTGCGCTCCGGGCCGCCGTCGACGAAATGAAGACCGAGACGCGCGCCGACGGCGTGACCGTATACCACCGCCGGGGCGCGACGCTCGTGCTGGCCGGCGTCTTTGGTGCGGAAATTTACGGGAAAAACTGCGCAACGTTCGAGGAAATGGTCGACAAGTTTGAGAAGCGGCGCAAGGAAGAGCGCACCGAGTCCAAGATCCCCGTGAGCCCCAGCATGCTCCTCAAGCGGTGCGCATCGTCATCGTGATACCGATACGAGATGTCATCGTGACGCGTAGGGCGCCACAAGCACCAGTCGCCGATGACGAGACAAGTCACCAGAACCTTGTACGTTCACGGAGATCACTCTGTGCTGATGATGTGACGTGGGTCTTATAGAAGCTCGCGATTGTGCCGCGCAAGAACAGCCGCGTCCAAGCGGAGAGCCCGGTGAAGCCGCGCGCACGCAACCAAGGCATCGAAATTGAAGCCAAAGCACTTCGGCGAAGCAGCTTTGAGGCGGGTCGGCTCACGACCGCTGGTCGCCCCGATGTGCAAGCCAAGAGCTGCGGCAAGCCCGTGCTGGCGGGTGCGGCCAAGCACGCCATCAATGGCATTCGCACTCGCGTCCTCTGAGTCCAACGCAAGAATATATATATTTATCGACTCTGCCTGCGACGACTCTGACGCGAGAACGAGCTGGGTTTAATCAAGGCCTCTTGGTCCACACCTGGTACATATCCCAGCGCGCGAGGGCGGTGTGGTCGGTAATCAGCGCCTCGCACGTGCCCCACGCCTGGACCGCGTCGGCGGTGGCGGCGTCGGCGAGCGGGTCTTCGTTCTTGGGGCCAATCAGAATCACCTTGGTCACTTTGGGATACCATCGCAAGTAGGTTGCTAATAGCGAGGGTCGGCGAAGGTACACGGCGAGGAGCACGACCGTGTTGTCGACGTTGGACGGGCGACCACCTTCCTTGACGACGTCGAAGAAGGGCAGGAAGACGTTCACGGGCGCGATATCGAGGCCATGGACGTCCAGGCCATTCTCGCCCAGTTGCAAGTCCAGTAGGAACTCTAGCAGGCCAGAGCCACTGCCTATGCTGAGGACGACGCCAGGTCTCGGGACGTTGGCCAATGCATCCTGCAGCAGTGCTAGCAGCGGCGACGTCGGGTTCACGCAGCAGAGCGTCGTCGTCTCGGTCAGCGCGTCCAGCATCTCACGCATGCCATTGACGTCGTTCTCGAGGAAGCGCTGGCGCAAGCTGTCGGCGACCGAGAGCGCGCCGCCCGTGCGGTTCCGGTAGAGCTGCCCCGGGTGGAGCTCCATGCTTGAGGATGCTCTCGACCAATCCGGATGTCGTATTTCAAAAAGCTCCAAACTCAAACTCAAAAGTCGCATTTTGCAGGTATTAGGACGACGCCGTGTGGATGGCCTTGTGCTGGAGGGCGAGGATCGTGTCGACCTGGTTGGCCTCGGCCTCGTACCCGAGCGCGAGGAGCGACCGCTTGGCGCTGACGTACGGCCACGGGCTCGTGACGATCTGGTCGCCCTGCACGCACTTGCGGTGGAACTCACGAAAGGTCTCGATCGCCTTGGCGTGCTGGTTCGTCTCGGCGTATGCGGTCACGAGGTGCTGGAGCACAAACGTCTTCTTCGAGCCCAGACGCTCGCCAAGGTACACGACAAAGGCCCACGCGTCGACCGCGTCCTCGTCTTCCTCGTCGGCAGCCGCGTCCGGGACCTTGTCCTTCAGCGCCCGGCGCACGCAGCCCTTGAGGATGTTCTCGAGCTTGGCCGGCGACGTGACCGCATTCGGGGCCTCCAGCATGAGCTGCAGAAGGCGCCACCGGCGCGCATTGTCCACAAAGTTTACGAGCTGCCACCACCAGAACGGCGTCGTGACGTTGAGTAGTGGCAAGCGAGGCTCCAAGAGCGACCAGAGCTCGACTTGGCTCACGTGCGTCGAGCGCGCAAGCGTATGGAGCACGCGCTTGGCGTCTTCGTCGCTGTAAAAGGTCACATGGAAGACAGGGCAGGCTTCGAGAAACTCGAGCAGCGCGGGCACTTGGTCCTGCTTGGCCATCTCGACCATGAGCTTGGCAGCCATCGCGCTTGCATTCACGACCTTCTTCTCCGCAAGCGACGACACAATGAGCGGCAAAATGCGCTCCGATTGGTGCAGACCAATGTACGTTTGCACCAAGGGCCGCGCGAGGGCGCTGCTTCCTTCCCTAGAAAGAGGTAGGATAAATGCTTATGGCTTGCTACGCGCGTACGTGGTCAGCGCTTCGCACTGCGCGTGGACGGCCAGCGCTTCGTCAAACTCGCCGAGGTAGTTGCGGGCTTCCATCGCGACCACATAGAGGGGCACGAGCGACGGCGAGAGGCCGTCGAAGCGCTGCATGTTATCAAAGAGCGTTAGGACAGCCTCGGCGTACTCGACGCCGTCGACGCTGTCCTCTTGGTCGTTCTGGAACCCGGCGGCGAGGCCGAGCATGAGGTTTTGGTAGTCGAGTTCGCGCAGCTTGATGCCATGGAGTTCAATGTCGTCCGCGATTCGCTTCATGTCCTTGAAGCTCTTGATTGTCTGAAAGAGGTAGAGGGCTTGGCGGTACCCGCTCGTGTTGCGCGGGCCGTTGGCGTCGCTGAGCTGCCGCCAGAACGCCGCTGCTTTGTCGAGTTGCTTGGTCGAAATGAGCGCTTTCAGGTACGACGCGTTCATCGACTCGGTCGGGTACACGCCATGGCCGAGCGCAAAGTCCATGGCCGCCTCGACGTCGGCGTGCGCGTGCTGGAAGCTGAGCATGCCCACGAGAAAGGACATGGTGCGCCGCGTCGGCTTGACGAGCGGTGACGCCGCCGTCATGTCTTGGAGGTTCTCGTACAGCAGCGTCGCGGCTTCGTGCTGCCGGTACTTGACGAGCAGCGTCATTGCTTCCTGCTCGACACGCGCCGTCATGATAGGGTCGAACGCCGCATGCGCAGCGTGCCCCTCGAGTGTTTGCACGAGCGGGCGGTAGTACGAAGCCACTTCCTTGACGACGCCAGCAAAGTCGTTGTCGTCGCAGAGCTTCTGTAGCTTGGCGTACGCAGCGTGCATGTGGTCGACATCAATCGACGGCGCCGTGGCATTGGCCTTGGGCGGGAGGCTGCTCACGGAGATCGAGAAGTCGCGGACGGTCGACGCGCTTGAAGGAAGAGGCCACGCGATGAGGTGCATGGGTCGCAGAATGGCGGGCGACCGGGCCGAGCGCTTCAGGGTCGCGCGGAGGGCAGCGCCAAGGGTGCGTCCTGCCATCACCGACGAAGTTTCTGGTTGTTCATTGGCCCGCGAGAGTAATTTAATATCCAGCTTAAAGACGATACAAACACCTAGTACAAGTGCGTGATTTTGAAAAAAGAGCTGCTGGAAGAACCTCTCAAATTCCATAGGACCTGTGGCATTTAATGTTGTCGACCCGTCCTGGTGTGCCAAGAGCTGCCACCGAGGAGCCCGACTTGCTGCTGCTGCCGAGCATTCCCGAGAGCAGAAGTACACCACAACTATACTTATACCATGGTACTTACTTGGACTACCAGGAGCTGGAAGGCGCCGCGTCTTTTTGGTCGCCGTATCCGGAAACCCTAGGCCAGGGCAGGATTTACGGATATGACGATGGACCGGTTGGCAAACGACTCGACTGTCGGCGGCGGCCATCGGACGATGACCGACCAGGCGGACAAGCCCAAGAAACGCAATGCGTCCATCGGGTTCGACCACGAAGTCAAGTACGGCCTCAAGGTGACGGTGCGCGAGGCGAACGAAGCGCAGGAGGCCATGTGTCTCTTCTGCTTGCACTTTGGCCGCCAGCAGGCCGAGGGCCGGACGCGCAAGCCCTTGTCGACGGTCAAAATGTACCAGCCGCCGTTCCGTCTCGACAACCTCGCCCAACACAACCTCGCCCACCACCGCGATCGCTGGGCCGAGTACTGCGTGTTGACATACGAGCAAAAGCGTAGCTACTTCCCAACGACGCAACCTTCGATGATGGTCCCGCCGCCGAAGCGCAAGCCGGTGGCATCACCCACGCTGCGTGAACCGAAGCGTGCAGGTCTGACTGTCGCCGAGTCGCCGTTGCCACCGACGAGCGACGACGTACACATTGCGATGGCCGACGAACGTCTCGCGATGGAGCGATCCAAGCACGTCATGGAGGTCGAAATGCTGCGAAAATCCGTCGAGCTCAAGAAGATCGAGGTCATCAGCGCGACGATGTTGGCGCGGCAGTCGCTAGCCGATGCTGGTATAGCGCGCGACGAGATCGACCTTGTGTTGCCACTGCCACGGCTCAACGCCACCGTGTAGACAGTACAGTAGGAATCTAGGCATCCAGCTATCCAGGATACATGTAATAGCACCCCCTTTAATAACGCAGGATCCTTGCGCAACGCAGGTCGTCGTCTATGGCCTCCTTCCTATCGAGCAGAGTGGTGTGAAGTCTGTCGAACCAAAACGTGGTGACTGCAACACCAACGCAATATGATGGGCAATAAGACAAGAGGGACAACACTTCCGGTGCTTGGACCCAGTACCTCCTGCATATGAAGCAAGATTGCTGTCGTAAGCCCAAGCATCGACGCCGACCGGCCAACGCAACCAGTGCCGGCAGCTCGACAAGCCGTTGCCATCCGAGGTACCTAGCGTTCGAAGCCGCAGCCGGTGATTGGTCCGTGCCAGCCTAGTTCTTAGAGGCGTTTGATTGGCAGCTCGAAATAAAAAAGAATGGTGCATTTAAATACAATGCTCAAATGATTTAATAAGCTAGTGCAAGGAAGACCGACGTTAGGCCATGCAGAGCAACGAACCCAAGCAGCAGCGTGGCGTGCTGCGGCCCGAGCACGAGGTCAAGTACGGCGTGTCCGTGACGAGCCGCGACGTCAACACTGGCGACGCGCTCCAGGCCACGTGCCTCTTTTGCGTGCACTTTGGCCGGCAGATTCGATCGGAGCGCGCGCGCAGCATCGCGACGCAGGTCAAGGTCTACGAGCCGCCGTTCCGGACAGACAACTTTGTGCAGCACAACCGACTACACCACTGGGACCATTGGATCGCGTACAGCGGGCAGGACCCGGACGCAAAGCTCGTCTACTTCCCGGCGGCGCTGATTCCGTCCACGATGCAGATCGCTGTGGCGCCCAAGCGACGGTCGGCCGCTCCCGCCAAGCGCCCCGCATCGCCCGAGCCCGAGCCAACGAAGAAGGCGAAACCCGACGCAATCTCGCTCGTCGATCTGTTAGAGCTGGAGCGCACCAAGTATGCGCTCGAGACGGACATGATGAAGATGGACTTGGAGCTCAAGAACGTTCAGGTCGTCCTCTCGACGATGCTCGCGCGGCAAAAGCTTGTGAACGCTGGCGTGCCCCGAAGCGACATTGACGCAATGCTGCCGCTGCCGCTACCAGCTCAACGGCAACCAACAACAATCGCCCGCATCTAAGTTCGTTCCCAGTTTACGTCGACCCGTCCACAAGACACAAGATCCCTTCTCCGCATGCAGCTACTAGCATTCAAGATAGCATGCGTCGTCCGTGGTTCTGTGTGATGCCCCAAAGTGCCAATGGTCATCGTCGTCGAGTCGGCTACGTGCCATGCACGGTGGGGAGGACACATTCCTATAGCGTAGAGGCGACATACAGGCACGCGACGTTATATTACTGGAGAGGATCATTGCATGAGCGGCATGCCTTCTTCCGGCGGCGGCAGTGGCAGCATCTTGTCAATGTCGTCTTGCGGAACACCGGCCTCGACGAGCTTTTGCCGCGCGAGGAGTGTCGAGCTGATCACTTCGATGCTCTTGATCCGCAGCGTCTTTTTGAGAATTTCCATTTCCATCTCTTGCTTCTTCTCGGCGTGCTTTTCGTCAATGGCCTCTTCGAAGGGCGGCGGCGTCGCCGCGCGGGCTGCACTCGTCGCAGGTCGCTTGACCGCCGGCGCCTCCAGCGGAGCCTGCAGCTTGGGCGTCTCGGGTACGCGAACGCGTTTACTGCCTTTGGCGTCGCGCAGCGTGAGCTCGGGATGGCGCTCCATGAAGCGCTTAAGCCAGCCGTCGCCGAGGTACCCGGACGGCGGCGCAGCGCGGTTGGACGTGTGGTAGATCTCATTCGCCTTGCTGAGCACCATTTGCCGAGAGACGTGGAAGCCATTCGTTTGCATCTCGACGATCCACGCAGCAATGTTGGTCTCGATCGGCACGCTCAGCACGGGCGCCGGGCCTGGCTTCTGCAGCTTGACATCGTTGACAAACTTGTTGGCGCGGTTCGTGATCGTGCGCTCGGGGATGTGCGGGAACTTCTGGTGCACCTCGCGCAGCTTGGTGCCACCGACGTACGCCTGCACCGCGGCCTCGAGCTCCTCGGCGCTATATCGCTTCTTCTTGCCCGTCATGCTGGAATGGCCAAGTCAGTACAAATCTGCTCCTTTCGATTTTTAACCAATCAAACACGTTCGAATGTACGCTGGACGCTTGTATTGGCTAAAATTCAAGCCAAGATCTGGTTTCGCACCAGAAAAGTGCTCAGCACGAAACGATCGTGGCAGCTGCCACGAGGTAGACAGACAAGAAGTGCATTGACCACTCTGTGAACGCATCGAAGATGGACGACTAGAGCTTCGACTCGAGCGCCGATGGGTAGTGCTTCTCGTAGCAATACAAGACGAACTGCCCGGCCTTGGAGCGGCGAAGGAACTCGTAGCGCTCTTGAAATTTAGGGGGCATGTTGGCCGGGTTCAAGTACGGCGCAATGTACCGGCTTTGCTTGGGCCCGAGCAGCATCGAGACATGCGAGCAGAACGAGATGTCGGCGGCCGAGAACGTCGGGCCGGCCAAGTACGTGGAGCCCAGCGGCGCCGCGCCGAGGATGTCGTCGACGCGAGCAAACTCGGCTTCGATCTTGGCCCACGACCGCTCGGCGCCTTCCGGCGTGACGTTCAGCGACCGAATGAGCAGGGACTTGAGAACCGGAAACACCGCGCTGACAGTAGTCGAGAGCGCTGCGCTCTCGAGCGGGTCCGTGACGACGGCGCGGCCCACTGGGCCCATCGAGAAGAGCGTATGGTAGGCATACCGGCGGGCGTGCGGGCCAAACTTGTTGTCGTAGTAGAGCTCCTTGTCCTTGACTGTATCGTTCGGGTACAGTGCCGGTAGCTTCTCGCCGCAGAAGGTCATGATCTCATCGCTCGACTTCAAGATGCTCTTGCTGCCACCGACGAGAAGGAGGGGCACGCTCCGCCCGCCCTTGGAGACCGTCCCGGCGTAGTGGAAGAGAGGTGCATGATTCTCCTCAATAAAGTCTACCTTGGCCATGCGCAGACCCCATCGCGCCTTCTCGCAGAAGTTGGACGCCGGGATCGTCACGAGCACGTGCTTGGCTCGCGTCGCTGCCATCGCCGTTGATATCCAAACTGCGTTGCGTCAACAGATGGGGCTTTGCACCCGGCGCTTTTTCATAACCGAATTGACGCCGACACACAACAGCAACTTCGCTATGTCTTTTAGGTAAACTAAATACTGGCCACCCGCTGGATACTTTTTACACCCGACATGCTTGATTGGGATGGGCCGGCCAAATGTGCGGTGACAGTCGCGACGCACACATAAGTGGTCTAGACTTCACTGTAGCTATGCGAAATAGCATCAAGTGAGTCGGGTAGGCATCGCCACGTGCATGGCTGCGCCTTTAGGCATCTCCAGCCAGCCAAAATTAGCCTCGGGATGCTTCTGGAGAAGGTGCTTTGCCCCATGGCCTCCGCTGCCATGCTTCCGTAGCTTACTCTAGTGCTGTACTTACTTTCACAGTGTGGCGCCACAAAGTAAGCTTAATCGAACAGATTCGTGTTCTCCAAGCGCGCTCAAGCAGCTTCCTCTGCAGCAGACCAAAAGATTCTTTCCGTAAACCGTTGTTTATAAGCACTTAGTATTTTTAGCTCCAAAGCTTGGGCTCTGTAGGTCGCCAAGGAAAAACCTTGTGTGGTCTCCGGATACGCCACCGCGAAACGCTCAGTCTCAGAACGAGTAGCAGCCAGGCGCAGCATGCTCGTGGGGCAGTTCCTCTCGCGAAGCATCTGCAATGCAGTGGGCTACGCGTACCCGATCTACATGTCGGTCAAGGTCGCGGCCAAGGACGACGCGGCCGAGGAGCAGATCCAGTGGGTCGTCTTCTGGACAGTCAACGCATGCTTCTCGGTCTTTGAGATCATTGCGGACCGCCTCGGCAGCTTCATTCCGCTCTACTACGAGGCGAAAGTGTGCATGATGGCGTGGCTCGCGCTGCCCTACTTTCGCGGCGCGACGCAAATCTATGAGAAGCTGCTCGCGCCCAACTTTGTCAAGTACGCCCCGCTTCCTCGAATATCCTGGCTGCAAGCCATCGTAGGTACGAGCAGTCGCTCGACGCCTCGATCGATTTGGCCAGCGACAAGCTGTCGCAACTCTGTCGCGAGGCCGCGTCCCTCGCGATCCAGAAAGGCTCGGGGGCCATCGTCCAGGTACGTTGCATGTGGCTTCCAACAAAGTCGACGAAGGTCGTGTAGGGCCAGCAATACATTGTCATGCAGGCCATGCAGCAAGCGTGGAACCGACCGACAAGTCCAACAAGCGCGCCGGTTGCAGTCGTGGCCAAGACGCTCGAGCTAGAGCCCATTGCTGTGCCATCGCCACCCAAGCAGCCGACGACGTACGAGCCATCAGCGCCTCCGACGGGACCGCCCTCCCGCCAAGAGAAGGAAGCCGAGCTTCTCGTGCATTTTCGAATTCTCTTGTCGCGCGGACTCAAAGTCCGCCATGGCACCAAGTCGCGCTTGCTGCGGCTGAGTCCATTGGGCACGCACTTGTATCTCGAGTCCAAGGCGCACCGCGGCGCCGCGGCGCCCGTCGTCCTCAGTCTTCTCGCTGTCGCGACCGTCGACGCCAAGGACAATGCTTGGTTCAAGATGGACACGACGACGATCCACCACACACTGACCTTGGACGCCGAAGCCAAGAAGACGCGCGACTTGCTTGTCGCAGGTCTCCGCCTGCTCGTGCTCGCCTTCCAGAAGGAAGCCAAGCGCCCGCTGGCACGAGTCGCGCACCTCCGCGCCCGCCACGTGACGCAGTTGGCCTTCGATATGCTGCTCGACCATGTCAACCGCGCCAAGCTCCAACGCTCGTTTTAATGCAGCAGTTGCTTTATCATCTATTAAGACTACCTTCAATTGATCACTCGGCGCTGGCCAGAGGTCGTGTGTCGTCCGCCTTGAGCGGCCCCGTCATGATGGACGCTAGCTGTTCCGCCGCCGAGTCCAACAGCTTGTCCAAGTCTTCGTCGTCGTCCACCGATTTGGCCGAGTCGACATAAGTGGCTTCGTCGTCGCCTCTCATGACGTCGCTGTCCTTTGAGAGAGAGATTCGCTTGGGTGTCTTCTTGGCTTCCATGTAGTAGCCTTCTGGCTTGAGCGGGAGCGTCTTGACCGTGTCTTGGGCCACGAGGAGCGCGACGAGCTCCTTCAAGACTTCTTCGAGCACGACGAAGGCGACAATCACACTGTTGGCTTCGTCGACGTTGGCGTTGGCTAGCAGCTGCGCCTGCACGTCCGATACAACCTGCCAGCCTTGCGGTATCCTTTGAATGCGTGCGCAGGCGTCGAGGTGGACGTCTTCGAGGATGCTTCGCACCGACTTGCCCTTCTCGAGCTCTTGGTCCCAGTCAAACACGAGGTGCGGTCGAAGCGACGCGAGAAGCGTGATCAAGCCCGAGAGCGCAATGTTCTCGGTCAAGCTATTGTCGAGCCAGCGCTCGAGGCGGCCAAAGAGCACCGACTCGAAAAGCGACGCGAGCGATGTCGATGACGGTACGCGCGTCGGCACCTGCGACACGGACGGCACACAGAGCGCCCACGACCCTCGGCGCGTGGGGCGATCGACGATCTCGTCTTCGTCAACGTCTTCGTCGTCGAACTCGTCTTCATCTTCCGTGTCGCTCGCATCGGTCTTGGACTTTTCCGAGCACGCCGACTGCTCGGCAACCGCAATGTACGAGAGAAGCGAGACGAGCTCGCCGTCCGCCAACGTCGGAGCGTCGGCCACAAAGCTCTGCAGGGCCGCAAAGTCGTGCTGCTTGACCGCTGCCCAGAGCGCGGCGTTGGCCGTGATCGCGGCCACGGATGCGTGGGGAAATCGAGACGCAAACCAAACAATGTGCACCGGCGTCTTGTGGCTGCGCGGCGGTGGCAAGAGGGCGTCCTCCACGACCGTTGTGCGCAGCGAGAGAAGACTCGCAAAGAGCTCGATGGTCGCAATGCTCAACGGCACCGAGAGCGAGTTGAGTCGGTACACAAGCTCTTGCAGTAGCCGCTGCGGCTTGGCCGACGAGGCCACCGATATCGGTGGCGGCAGCAGCTCGTGCGACGACGACACCACGGGCATAGCCGTGGGCGCCGCCTTGGCGTGCATGTGGCTCAGCAGAAATGAAATGTACCCTTGGAGCAGCGGGTTCGAGGCCGGCGACCCGCCAAGCATGTCCAAGATCGACCGCGCGTAGACGAGCGCCGTGCGCGACGCTGCTTCCGCCGTGTCGAGGAGCGCATCGAGAAACGGGCCGGCCAGGAACCGGTCGTGGAATTGCACGAGGATCTCGCTTGTGATCGATCGGAGCCGCGTGACGGGGGTCGAGGCCGGCAGTCCTTTGGGCGGCGTCGCGGGGCGCTCTTCGTCGAGGATCTCAAACGTCCCGACCATGGCCAAGGTCGAGCAAAAGCGGAGGCGGCCCGCGAGAATATCGAGCTCTTGCTGGATCATGTCGAGGTCGACGGACCGGAACGACTTTTCGTGCTTGACGCCAAGCGTCTTGGGCAGCGCGTCAAAGGCGCCAATGATCCCCGTGACCGCGTAGTTGCAGAACGGTGTCATCTTGAGGATGAAGCGCGCGAGGCCAGGCTCCTGGAGGCCGGCCGCGATCGCGAGGCCTTCGCGGCACTTGAGTCCGAGCTTGCCGGCGCGGTACATGTGCGGGAGGAGACCCGTGAAGAGCACGAGCTCCGAGATGCGCGTCGGTGAGAGCGCGAGCTCGTTGTTGGGCGTCGTCGTCTTGTAGATGCGCATAAAGAAAAACTCGGTCTGCACCGGGTCGCCCTTGAGCTTGACCCAGAGCGCGTGGAGGCAGTGGAGCAAGCACTTTTCGACCATCTCGTCTTCGACTTCGCGGACCATTGCGCCCTGGATGAGCTCGCACACGGAGCGATAGACGCCACGCGTTGGCAAGATGGGGTAGTTGATCTTGGACTCGCGGAGGAGGTCGGTGAGGAAGATGATGACGAGCACCATGAGACCGCTCGGCGAATCGTCGGCAGCCTTGGCGCAGAGCTGCTGGATCACATTATGCTCGAGGAGGTACTCCATGCATGGGCGCTGGTCAATCGACGTGTCGCGGTCGTGCACCTGGCGATCGAGCGCATCTTCCTCGGCGTACAGCAGCTTGACCAGCTTGGCCAGGTTGTCGCGCGTGTTCGAGTCGCTGAGCTGCTTCTTCTGCGTCGCTTCCGGCAGATTCTCGGCAATGACGGCCTCGAGGAAGAGCGAGATGATCTGCCAGCGATGGTGAAACTCCTCGACGGGCGTCTTGTAGAGCGCCATGGTGAGATTCAACGACGGCGCGACGGCCTCCGCGGCCTGCGCGACCTACGCAGCAGCGTTAGCACGGGCGGCGCTGCGGCCAAGCACCATGGAGGCAGCGGCCTTCATCTTGTTCTTGAACCAGCTCATGCTGCTTGCGTCTCGACGCCCGATGGCAGTTCCCAAGCACGAAAGCTGCTCCGTTCTGTTGTTCGATCTATTTTCATGGGGCCCGTAGTATCCACCAACCGGGTCCGACGGTGCAATTGATTCTTTTTAATATATTACATACAAATATGCAGTAGTCTAATCGCTTTTAATTTAGGATGTCAATCTCCCACCGCAGCAAACTTCTCAATTTTCAGTATAGTAAAAACAAGCTTGAAATCCAGAAATTCGTTGAAGTGGGTGGTGCCCCCATAATTTTTGAACTAGGGACCCCTATTCAAAAGCAAAGATTTGCGTCACCGTGGACCAATCTCACTCACCACATGCTTCAATTCGCACGTTGGAGGTTGAGTTGCATCAAGCGCAGAGCGAGCGAGCAAGCTGCCATGCCGACCTTGCGCTCGGTGCCATACACCAGCGATTTGTATGCTCTCGCCTTGAGCTGGCAAAGGGCCGCTCTCTGACCGGCGAGGTTGCTTTCACTCATAATGATTGGCCAAAATGGACAGATTCCGATGGATGATTGGGTAGCCATCTGGGAATTTTAATTGCTGGCCAATCGAATGCATGACAACCTGAAAACTCCACGCGAGAGGCTGCATACAATTGCCAAGTGGTTTGCCATTTGAATATTTGAATTGCCGAGGTATGCGACGAACGACGCTCGGCCCGATATCGTCCTCGCAGCTCAACTCGATGAGCTCGTCGCAGCCATCGCGGATCCCCGTGGCCAAGCCGGCCGCGGGTCCGTCGGCCGGCCGCCAGTCCATGAGCTCCTTGGCACAACGTCGCGAGAGCATGAAGAACCGCCTGCCGCTGGGCCGCAACAGCATGGTTGCCAGCGCCGGCCATCGGACGCACTCGATCGGCAAGAACGGGTCCATGGGGTCGGGCCGGCGAAGCAGCACCTTCGGGGCGCGGGGCAACCGCGTTATGGACCCTCGCCCGGTGGCGGATCGGAGCTTCATGAACAACGCGATTCGGCTGCTGGTCGAGTACCTCTCGGAGCACAACTACGAGCACCAGATCAACTCGCATTTGCTCTTCAAGCCGATGAAGAAGGACTTTGTCTACATCATGCAGTTCCTCTTCCGCCAGCTCGATCGCAACTTTGAGTACTCGCCCAAGATCGAAGACGACGTCGCGACGTGCTTTCGCCAGCTCAAGTACCCTTTCCCGATCAGCAAAGCAGCGCTCGCGGCCGTCGGAAGTCCTCACTCGTGGCCGTCCCTTCTTGCCGCAATCTCGTGGATGATTGAGCTTCTCAAGGTATTTCATGATGATTTCTGCAATCGCCACGACCTCACGCTGTGGACAGTACGACGAAATCGTGCAGCACGACTACGAGCAAGGCGACGAGTACGACGGCGACAACTTCTTCGAGTACCTCGCCAACTCGTACGAAGCCTTCTTGAACGCCAAGGACGACGAGTACAACATGCTTGAAGCCCAGCTCATCCAAAAGATCGGTACGACATTTACCCTTACGACCCGTGGACTCTTACGACATGCATGGGCACGTAGACGCAAAGCACGACGTCATTGCCAACGAGACACATGCCATCTTGGAAGAGAACGACGAGCTGCGTCGGCAGATTGAGCAAGCCAAGAAGGCGCCGGTACGTCGCTCGAGCCTAGCCGCCATACCAAGGACACCTGCTGTAGACGCTCGCCCACTTCAACGCCAAGAAGCGCGACCTTCAGCACGATCGCGAGAAGCTTCAAGACCTCGTTCAGAAGCTCGAGGCCAACAAGGAGCACGCCGGTGTCGTCATCCACTCGACCGAACAGAAGATTGCCAAAAAGCGTACACTACCATCATCGTACTATGATGGCTCATGGGCTCCACTTTGTAGAGGAGGAGTACCAAGCGATCCAAGTGCGAATCGCACAGCTGCAGCGTCGCATCGACACGCAGGAGCTGACGGCGGAGGACCTCGACCGCTTGGTGAAGGAGCGCCAGCGCCTCCAGGAGCAGCTGCAGCAGGCTGAAGTGCGCTACAAGGATCTCCAGAGCCAGCACTGGCAAAAGGAGACGGCGATCTCCGAGATGAAAGACGCGTTGGAGGAGAGCGTGAAGCGCTACATGGTGACGGCGACGCGTCTCAAGCTCTTTGGCAAGTACGGCGGCGGCTTTGACTATGGCATTTCGATCGACGCGCACTCGGGCGGCGTCTCGGCTGCGACGGCGCTCATCAACCACCTCAAGAAGAGCGTCGTGCCCAACATCTACAAGTTCAAGAAGCAGCGCATCGAGCGCCTCGACCGGCTCCTCGACAAGTCGCTCGAGCTCAAGGCCCAAGTCGAGAGCACGGCGCTCCAGCGAGAGAACGCGCTCGAGGCCGTCCGCAACATGGAGAACCAAGAGCGCAAGATGAGCGAGATCATGCGCCGCGAGAAGGACTCGATGGACCTCCTCCTCGACCAGAAGGCCAAGGCGATCGAGGACGTCGAGCTCGAGCTCCAGCACGTCAAGAGCGAGGAAGAGCTCAACGCTGAGAACGTGCGCGCCGAGGCGCTGCACAAGGAGACGCGCGACGCGTACGAGAGCATGAAGGCGCAGTGCGAACAAGAGATCGCGACGCGACTGCACAACATCTCGCTCGCCGTCTCGGCCTGCATCGCCTTCAAGGAGAACGTCGAACATGTGCTCTCGGAAGGCGAGGCCTACGCCCAGCGCTTTGCCGTCTAGTGTGTGATTACTTTATATAAAAACGACTATAATAACCCTGCAGCTTTAAGTGAATTTACCGAATGTACAACTTGTCGATTTGATTAACCAAATTTTGAACTCTCCAATTACTACTTATACCTTTCGGTTTGTCGAAATCACTCGAACGCATGCAACGCGCTGACAGACCGGTCACACCACATCAGTCCGGGTGGTCTTCCTCTGCTGGCACTCGCTGTTGCGGCGTTGCCCAAGGGGCTTGGCGGCGAGCTTCTTGCTTGGGGTTCTCGATGAGGCCAAATGCTTATCACTATAAATGGTACAAGTACTAGCCAGCTCTGTGGTATTTGCGTTGCCCTGCAAGGTGTCGTAGAGACGACTGCATGTTCCGAAAAGGACGTGCTTCA